TATTTGCAAAAAATTTTGCAAACCATTCATCGTTTTCTTTCCACTTCACAATTATGTGTCACATTATGTTGATCTATCACATAAAATCCCAATAAAATACATTCACGTTTTTGGTTGTAACATGGTAAAATGTGGAAAATTTCAAGGGGTATGACTACTTTTTCAGGGCACTGTATATACTGGAATTTGTATTTATTTATTTTTTATACTAGTAATGGTGGCGATCAGCGACTTATAGAGGGACTGCGATAGTATGGCAGGCAATCTGACACTGACACTTTGTGGGAACCAGTGACACTAATCAGTGCTGAAAATATACATTGTCACTGTACTATGACACTGGCTGGGAAGTTGTTAAACATCTAGGGCGAACAAAGGGTTAAATGTGTGCCTAGCCAGTGTTTGTGTGTGTATTGTGAGGTGCTTTCCCTAAGGCAGTGGTCGGCAAGCCACGGCTCGCGAGCCACAGCGGCTCTTTACACGCTTTAATGCGGCTCTTGTGTGCCGGGTGCCCGCTCCCCTCCCTCCTCTCAGGCGGCAGGGACTCTGCAGCGTGATCCAAAAAAAAAAAAACAGCCAGGGCAGCGCGCTCAAATGCAATGATTGGCCAGTCTCGCTGACACTCACATCCTGATAGCCAGTGATTGGCTGTCAGGATGTGTGTAGGCGGGGCAGCGTGACGAACGTGAGAGGAGCTAGGCTTCTCTCACAGTCCGCCCTGAAGACCGGAACGGCGCGGGAACACGGCGAGAGGAATGCGCAGGGCAAAGGTAAGTGAATTGACACAGGGGGACTTGTCTTACTACTTGCTACTTACTTACTACTACTATATGAGGGATGAATTACTATATGGGGGATGAATTACTATATGGGGGATGAATTACTATAGGGGGGATGAATTACTATAGGGGGGATGAATTACTATGGGGGATGAATTACTATGGGGGGATGAATTACTATGGGGGGATGAAATTACTATATGGGGGATGAATTACTATATGTGGGATGAATTACGATATGGGGGATGAATTACGATATGGGGGATGAATTACTATGTGGGGGATGAATTACTATGGGGGATGAATTACTATATGGGGGATGAATTACTATGGGGGATGAATTACTATATGGGGATTAATTACTCTGGGGGATGAATTACTATGGGGGATGAATTACTATAAAAACTTATTGAAACTAAAAACAGTGTACCATCCTATGTATTTTCAGTTTTAAAAATGTGGCTCTCAAAATAAATTTCAATCGTGGTTTTGGCGACATTTGGCTCAGTTGAAAAAAAAGGTTGCCCACCACTGCCCTAAGGGATGTGTCGGTTTTTATTCCCTGCTTCGCAGAGAAAGAAAAAAAATGGCACCTCCCCACTGACAGTATTCAGAGCTCTGTATTGTTTACATTGACAGAGCTCTGTCTTCCTCCTTGCTGATCAGTGGGTGCCAGCAGTCAATCATTGACTGGTACCTGCTGATCGGCTTGTTCCATGTCTAATAACAGCACAGCCAGTGCACCGACGGCATGCACGTCCCCTACCCGAAAGTGTCGGATCACATATTAGATACGTGATTCTTGCTAATAGAGAAAAAAATCATGTAAATATTGGACCGAAGTTTATATTTCATGCAGAAATCTACCTATGACAATGAACTACCAAATAGTCCTAACAATGGCAATTTTCCAGGCAGTGGAAATCTTTGTTACTTACCTTCAACCACATGAAGAATTGATTAATGCAGGATTAAATGTTTGGCACATGATATTAGAAATGTCAAATATTATGGAATCAGTACAGATTCAACACTGGATATACAGTGAGGAACAGAAGTATTTGAACACCCTGTAATTTTGCAAGTTCTCCCACTTAGAAATCATGGAGGGGTCTGAAATTCACATTGTAGGTGCATTCCCACTCTGAGAGACAGAATTAAAAAAAAAATTTCTTCTGTTCCTCACTGTAAGTAACAATCGGTTATTATTTATTGTTTATTGTGTATCAATTACTTATTCTCTTCAATATTTTTATTGAAGGACATAGGAAAATGACAGCACTGTCACAGTTGGTACAAGTACAAATTAATGTGGGATTTGCACACACTGCAAGGACAGTTCATATTACAACCATATGAAATATGGGTAATAACATCACAGAAAATAGTTGGTAACCATCAAAAAAAAAAAAAGAAAAAAAAGAGAAAGTAACTGAGGCCTCAGCCATTGCGAACAAAGTTATTTAGAGTGTTAGGCTACAGAGCAGACATCCAAACAGCAGTCAATCCACAATAAAATGCGAGGTGCAAAAAGGGCACACAACAACCAAACTGCATGCTCTTAAAGGAGAAGAAAGGAAAATACAAGAAGAATTAGAAAAGGCAGGAAAAAGCAAAGAGGAAGATAGAGGTCACTGTATACACTGGGAAGGAATACCATCCAGAGGACTGGTTGGCTTCTGGAGGGTCAGGGTTCCAAAAAGAGAGGCGTCAAAGCCAGCAGGTGAATAATGATCAACCCAGGGTTGCCAGACCTTTAAATGCTTAGGAATCACATCTAACAGGGTTGCCTTGATCTTACTGTGGATCACTGCCTCAGTAACACGTTTTTTTGCCTCAGTAAAACACAGAGTTGTGGTCTTACAGGCCCATGCAATAGTTTGTTTGAAAGCAGCCAGGACCCAAAGTGAAAGTTTTAATTGAGCTCTTGTAAGATCAAGGGAGCAACAGTTAACCAATGCAAAGGTTGGATCTGGTGCTATAGACAAGGACTAAAGTAATGATGTGAAAAATGTCAGACCAAAAATGCTGCACTATGGGGCAGAACCTACATATATGGGCGAGGGTACCCTGTTCACCACAGCCCCAAAAAGCAGTCAGAATAGTTAGGTAGAAAGTTTGAAATTCTTCTTACCAGTGCATTAGGACTTTATAGTTGGTTTATAAGGCTAGAACACTCTGAGAAGATGATGTGGTCAAGGCCCATATGTCATGCCAATCCTTTTGTTCCAAAGGCACATTTAGGTCCAGTACCCATGCTTGGACATATAGAGGTAGATTAGAGGGCGCAGAAGTGAGTTGTGAATACAGCTTAGAAATAATACCCTGAACATGTGGATCTGAAGAGCAAATGCCCTCAACGAGGGTCAGATGAGTGAGAGAAGAGAGGGAGCGGATAACAGGAGAAATAAAGTGGGATACCTGGAGGTAATGAAATAGTTCTGACTGCGGGAGCAGGTATTGTTCGCATAAGGCAGAAAATAATTTAATACCGATATCGATGACCATATAACAAAGTTGAGTCACTCCTACTGGTAACCAGTGATGGAAAGAAGAAGGGTCAGAATAAGCCAGATAAAAAGACGGGTGTTTATAAAAGATAATAAGGGGCAGTGAGGAAACATGAATTTATAGGGACCCTATAAGGGGTGAGTCTGTTCCATAATTCAAGGGAATGTAACATAACAGAGTTCTGTACAAGCCTCCGCTCAGACCTCTGAAGCCATAATAAATTATCACTAGTCACAGGGTCAGTTTCTGTGGTCTTGTGCCCTACCCATAGTGGAACCTCGTAAGTTGCATGATATAGAGTTAGTTGAGCCAACTGGGCCGCTTGGTAATATTGAGAGAAATTCGGTACCCCCAAGCCACCAGAGAGCCTACTCCGCATCAACTGGGTCCTGGGGATCTCAATTACATATTCTCAAAGTGAAGCTAAACTCTGGTTGAAAAAAAGAAAATTCAAGTATTTAAGTTTAAGTCCCTTCTAGTGCTCTCAGCCTCCTCCAAATCTCCAAATACATTTTTGTTGTTGTGGTGATCTGACTTCTTCTTAGAGGGTGGCTACATTCATTCTCTATGATCCCACTGTATGTAGAAATGTGGCCACCCTCTCTTTCTCTCTTCCAAGATGGACAGTGGGATTTTTAGTGTACACAGAGCAGTGTACATGACCGCAACTAATCTGCACTGCTTGTTCCAAATAAATGGAAGTGAGGAGGAAAAGTTCAGTAGCACATAGAGAATGCTACAAGGAGTTATAAATAAACAGAGTACGAAATAATTTTATGAAAAATAAATTACAGGGCCATTAAGTAGTGGACGTATATGTTTGGAGAACAAGGATATTGTTTAGTGTCATTTTAAGGTCCTCATATGAGAAGTTCCCCTATAACTTCTGTTCTGGTGACAGGGATTCTCTCTCACTCTGCGCTACCCAAAAGTAAAAAAAAAAAAAAAAGTTTTGGTCTGTACATATGCTTTAAAGTAGAACTAAAGGCAAAACATTTCATTTTAATTTTGGGTAGATTAAGGGAGGGTTATGATCTCCTTTTTGCCATTTGTGCCCATTTTGGAGATTTTCTTTTGCTTCCTGTCCCATAGCCAAAATAGGAAGTAAGAGGGAATCCCTGGTTCCCACCAGAACTAGTGTCCCCATGGGTTTCCCCAGATTTCCTGTTCTGGCGACAGCCCAAAGTTTGGAATTTGTTCACTTTTGCTTTCAGTGTTAACAGTCACCAGAACACGTAGAGTGAATCTAATCTAAAGGGTACAAACACAGCAATAAAAACTGACAGGTTTCTAATCCTTCTATACTCCAAAACTTCAGTTATACTTTAAAAATGTTTAATTGGTTTAGCTAGGTTACTGTAAACTATCCGCAGATTAGCTTTTTATTTATAGGCATTGATGGTATGTGGTATTGATGTTTACCAGTTTATTTTACATCTGAATGCAGCTTCCCATTTCCATGACCTCAAACAAGTCTGGTGTTTCCTCTTCTCACACTATAATGTGTTTGCTGAAGAAGTAGGCAGAATTCTTTCATGACATCTGGGATACTCTTAAACAAAAGCATTCAGCAACAGTGATGTCATTCAGCCAAAACCACCCAGGGACTTTTTGTCATATACACTATATTGGGACACCCCTCCAAATCATTGGATTTAGTTGTTACAATCACCTCCATGGTCACAGGTGTATAAAATCAAGCACCTAGGCATGCAGACTACTTCTACTAACATTTGTGAAAGAATGGGTGCCTCTCAGGAGCTCAGTGAATTCAAGCGTGGTACCGTGATAGGTTGCCACCTGTGCAATAAGTAAATCCATAAAATTTCCTTGCTACTAAATATTCCACAGTCAACTGTTAGTGGTATTATAACAAATGGAAGCAACTGGAAACAACAGCAACTCAGCCACGAAGTGGTAGGCACCATAAAATGACAGCATGGGGTCAGCCCATGCTGATGCACACAGAAGTCGCCAACTATCTGCAGAGTCAATAGCTAAGTACCTCCAAACTTCGTGTGGCCTTCAGATTAGCACAACAACAGTGCATAGAGAGCTTCATGGAATTGATTTCCATGGCCGAGCAGCTGCATCCAAGCCTTACATCACCAAGTGCAATACAAAGTATCAGATACAGTGGTGTAAAGCACACTGCCACTGGACTCTAGAGCAGTGGAGATATGTTCTCTGGAGTGACGAGTCATGCTTCTCTGTTTGGCAATCCGAAGGACGTGTCTGGGTTTAGCGGCTGCCAGAACAGTACTTATCTGACTACATTGTGCCAAGTGAAAAGTTTTGAGGGAGGAGGGATTATGGTGTGGGGTTGTTTTTCAGAGGTTGAGCTTGGCCCCTTAGTTCCAGTGAAGGGAACTCTTAAGGCATCAGCATACCAAGACATTTTGGACAATTTCATGCTCCTAACTTTGTGGGAACAGTTTGGGGATGGCCCCTTCCTGTTCCAACATGACTGCGCACCAGAGCACAAAGCAAGGTCCATAAAGACATGGATGAACAAGTTTTTGGTGGAGGAATTTGACTGGCCTGCACAGAGACCTAACCTTAATCAGATAGAAAACCTTTGGGATGAATTAGAGCGGAGTCTGCAAGCCAGGCCTTCTCCTCCGACATCAGTGCCTGACCTCACAAATGCGCTTCTGGAAGAATGGTCAAACAATCCCATAGACACACTCCTAAACCTTGTGGACAGCCTTCCCAGAAGAGTTGAAGCTGTTATTATTATAAAGGATTTATATAGTGCCAACAGTTATAACTGCAAAGGGTGGGCCAACTCAATATTGAACCCTACGGACAAAGACTGGGATGCTATTAAAGTTCATGAGCGTGTAAAGGCAGGTGTCCCAATACTTTTGGCAATACAGTGTATATTAAAAGGTAGCAGTAGTGAGCAAAGCAGGGTGGCTTAGTGGTTAGCACTTCTGCCTTGCAACACTGAGTCTCTGGTTTGAATCCTAATCAGGACACTATCTGCATGGAGTTTACCGGTTTCTCCTGTGCTTGCATAGGTTTCTGCCAACACTCCTAAGGCATGGTCGGAAAATAGCCCTAGTATGTAAAATAGGGTCCTTAGATTGTAAGCTCAGATCAGGCACTGATGTGAATGTAAATAAATAGCTGTAATGTAAAAGTTAAATAATTGCAAATTTAATACACATGTAGCTCTACCCTTTGAGGGCTACTGTGTTTCTAGGTGCCCCTTAGCTCCGCACAGCCAAGCAACACGCATTTTACATATTCAGTGAACAGTCCATAAGCTTGTTGTTTTGTTATTTTATTAGGAGAAATAATTTGGATAGGGTAATAGGGTTTATGGCATGCCCGACTGAATCAATGCATGGGGACAACTTCCTTCCTATGTACAAAAACAGATCCTGGATTGTTCTTTTCATTGAAAGTAGTCAGTCATTGCGGATCAGTAGCAACTGCCCGTTACGGTCTATGGACTCGCAGCCCCTCTGAAAGTTAGCTTAGCTTGCTGCAAACTGCATGTAGAGATGTCTCCTCTACTCTGTAGAACTGGCCCCAGCTCCACAGCCTGCAGGTGCTACCAGTCCTCCTGGCTGCTCTGAAGATCTTTCAGGACAAGGATAAAGGATTAAGCACAGCACTATCCTTTGAAAGCTTGCTACATGTGGCAGTCTGCCCCCTTGGAAATCCCTGGGTGTGCTAATGTACTCACTCTGTCCTCCGTTCCCTCACTGATCCCAGGCCTTGATCCTGCTCATGTTGTGATGCTGAATGGATCCTCCTGAGTCAGCCCAGATGCTCAGGCACCCAGGCAGAAAGAGATTTATCCTACTACTCCGAATGGTTTGCTGTCTCCCTGGTGCAAGGGTTCGGCGTGTGGTGGACCGGGTTGATAAATTACTGAAAGGGGCTGGGCATGACCAAGCTGTCTTGGTCCATGTTGGAACCAATGACACAATACATGGAAGGTGGAGGCTCCTTAAAAATCAATTTAAAGAACTAGGCTGCAAGTTGAAGGGAAGGACATCCAAGATGATATTCTCTAAAGTATTACCTGTGCTATGCGCACCTCAGGAAAGACAGGGGGAGATTAGAAAACTCAATGCATGGCTAAAGACCTGGTGTAAGAGGGAAGGATTTGGGTTCCTAGAGCACTTGGCCCACTTTTCATTGGAATGCAGCCTATATGCTAGAGATGGTTTGCACCTAAATGGAATGGGGTCTGCTGTGCTGGAGGAGTATTTAAACTAGAATCGAGGAGGTGAGAGAGAATTAGATTATAATGGGGTAGTTAGATCAGACATGGGTCAGTACTTAATGGTGGGTGGAATGGGGAAAGATGGGGGGAGGGCTAAGGCAGATTATAAGAAGGTTCCCATGTTACAAAACAACCAGTGGAATTGGTACCATTTGTAATAAAATAACAAATATGCAAAATATGTGTGCACAAGGTGTTAATTTATTAAAGTGTTCACCAATGCCAGAAGTCTGCCAAGCAAAATAGGTGAGTTTAAAGCTTTGGTGCATGAACTGAACTATGATTTAATTGGTTCTGTTTCAGAGAGACAGGGTAAATAGGAAAGGTGGTGGTGTCTGTCTCTATATGAGATGTGATCTCATGAGCGAGTGTGACAGAGGACCTAATTGATGGACAGTGTGATGAGGCTGAAGCATTATGAGTGGAACTGCACATGGAAGGTGGGTACTACAGAGGTAATCATTGGAGTTTGTTACAGGCCTCCAATGAGGAGGTGGAGACTCCGCTCCTTGCACAGATTGCAAAGGGGTATAGGGGAGAGAATTATGCATAAATATACTGTACTAAAACCATGCGCATAAACAGAGTAAGTGGCATAACAATAGTGGCCCACTCAGGTCTTTTTTTGAGACTCAGATCTTTGCTGCCTACCAGGTGTGTATGCATATGTGGTGGTTGTACTTCTTGAGATAGGCAATTACCAGTGAGCATTTAAGCTTTGCGTTAAGTCCTTAAACATTCCACAAAATCAGCTTAAGGGAGGCCTAGGTCCACCAGTAAAATAATTTAGCCAAGAGGGGTAAACCTCTGGTGACCCAGATGAGAGTATGGCCAAAGGTCCATTATATACATGTACAGAACATTTGCCAATAACAAGACACCCAGAAAGAGAGGGGCTAGTTCACCCTGCTCATGCAGAATAGGTCCACTGCCATAAATACTTCCCAAAAACAAAAAACAATAAACATAACCCATCCCACTCCCTCTCTGAGCAAATCAATCTTGTAAGTAAGCATGGTTTGGCAGCCAGTGATGGCTTGCATAAGTGCTGTGAACTGATCCTGCTCCAACGCCGCTGCCTCACTCTCGGTTGATTCGGCCTGTGGCACTCTACTTTCCCGTCTATGAGGAATGTTGAGTAGTAACCACGTTTGCGCCCAGTGTCAAATTTGCCTTTGGCACAATAAACGGTTATGGGGTAGCACAGGGGTGAGCAAATCCCACAAGTAGCAGATAAAAGAGACCGGTTGTAACAGAGCACAGGTCGCCATTTGAAACTCGCCCCCAAAAGTTCCACTTTCATATTTTTTTGAGTCAGTGACCCAGATGGATCAAGTATACACCAATTAAAGTAAGAGAACTTGAACGATATACTTGTTTCAGATCAGTGAACCAATTGCATCTATTTCCCTTGAAAATACTCTGTGACCTTCTCCCCTTGTTCCTAGGATGCAGCGCTCATGCATGAATGGTCAATTATACAACTGCTACAGTAGTTTACCTGTATATTCAAAAAAACAGCGCTCAAATCTTCATACAACAGGATAACGGATAATGTCACTCGCTAAGGTGTAGCCTTCCAAAGAAAGGGGAGTCTTGGTGCTAGCAAAGAAAGAATAAAAGTGGGTGCACACTCCTCATGTATAACCGTGATAAAAAGGAAATTTGTTGTATTGAAACAAACAGATACTTAGCATTTTCCACTACAGGATCCCCTCTACCTGGGACTGTTAATTGTGTCTCTCTCTCTGTTTTTACACCCATTGGTTTGTGAGTATCTATTTGTTTCAATACAATACATTTCCTTTTTATCACGGTAATGCATGAGGCGAGTGCGCACTCTTTTATACTTTCTTTGCTAGTATTTTACCTGTGCTTGTTGAGTCTGTCTGTGCTTTTACCCTGTGTAAGCCTGGTCTTATTTGTCTGCATTGCCTCTCTAGATTGACTGGGTAGGGATACGTTTGGAGAATTCAATGATACTTTACCATCACCAACCTTCCTGGTGCTACTAAATAATGTTTTTATTGCGGTCATCATTGGTGGAAATTACACCTATCTTAAATGTTTTGTCTGACACCATCAAATAGAGGGGAAGTGGGAAGAAATGTGTTAAAAGCAGGAAGGGACTGTGGTTAGTACATCACTATCATCTTATAATATCTGCTCAAGCCCTCATCTGTGTTACTAAATTAAGGAAATAAAAACATCACACACACACATACATATACTGTATATATATATATATATATATATATATATATATATATATAATCATACATACACACACCATAGTTTGTAGACTCTATACTATACCTTTCACACAGACTAAATAACATATTCTGATATGGGTTATCTTTACCAAAGAAATGTAGCGGACTACATTTTGGCCTAAATTTATGAAAAATGCTTGTTTGTACAATTTTATAACAAAAAAAACACCAAAAAAACAGTGATGATCAAATACAATCAAAAGAAAGCTCTATTTGCGTGAAAAAAGTATATATATTTCATTTGGGTACAGTACTGCATTACTGAGCAATTGCCAGGTAACGTTGCACACTGCTGATTAGCAAAAAATGCCCTGGTCAAGAAGGGGGTAAAACCTTCCAGAGGTCAAGTGGTTAAATTGAAAAGTTACACTTCACTCTTCAAAGCACACTTGTTGCCTTAATGAAACAGAATAGTAAACCCCTCACTCCCGCTACATAGTATGAATATTCCATTTATCTTTAGCATTCAAGGCCAGCTTCAACAAGATCCAATGCAAATTCTGACTATTTGAAAGTCATTATTTGCATGTTTAGACACTCCTCTGTCCATCTTAAATAGCAACTCAGGCTTTGAATGCTACACCATAGGAAGCAGAGAGGAGTCTATAAATTAGTCTTATACTGAGAAAAAAAAACAACATTTCAGGGGACTGCAGCAGCGGACTAGAAAAAGAATCTGAAAAGTATCTACTATGCAAAGGGAAGGGGGAATTGTATGTAGCCTTCATTCGGGTGACAATTTGCTGGAAAAGAAAGCTTGTCTGCTGGACTTGAAGACTAAAAGTGTTTTATTGAGCCCTCATGTTGTTGATCAAGTGGCATGCACATTTATTTAAATGGTTCTGATTTTTAGAAACATGAAGACAAGAGTGGAGAAGAAATATGAAAAGCAGCCAACTTTGGCCTTTCAAAAAATGTGCTGCAGAACCTAATTATAAATTCATCTGCACTTACAATTTTCTCTTAGTCCATTTGCAATCTCACAAATACCTGGTGAGTATGCCAATGGTCCAACGTCCTGTGTGGCAACCATGTTGCACTGCTCCAGGATTCACAGCAAAGTTGCCACTGACATAAGCTGTGCCTGCTGTCACTGCAGAGGGATGAAAAAAATGTTTACAGCACTGTTGCTGAAATTCTCCCACTATAAGCTGCAGTGTCTGGGAAAGAGACCGTGTGAGACACCAATAAAGAAGGATTTGGCAGGGAAGGTAAATCAAGTTTTTGATTTTATGAGGCTTGTTAATTACATTGTAGCTAGACTTGGTACTTGTTTAGACCATCATATAGGAACCCTTGGTTGTACTTTAATAGATTATGATACACAAGACAATTCTGACATGTATAGCTGTACAGAGGTAAAAAGGCACATGATTAGCTGGTGATAAACCCTTGTATGCTGCTGAGAAAAAAACAAGCTAGACGATATCCAATATAGCTTATCCATGATGAGGCTAATAGGATTTTACTATATACTAGAATAGTACACTACATTTGTAAAGAACAAACAACCTATGGATATAGACAGAAAGACCAGGCAAATGGCTAGCATTCCAAACCTATTCTAGGTACATCCATACATACACCATGGATGTAAGCCAGAGTATAGGACAGTAAAACACTTAAAAAAAAAATGTACTTTTTTATATTGAACCACAATTTAACCTAGTTATGTTTTCGTTAAAAAAAATAATAATTGTATTTTTAGTAAAACCTGACACACTGGATTCGATCTCCATATTGGGTTCCTGCACAGCAAAAATGGAAAAGGTTGGTTCAGGGCTCTAATGCTTTGCATTGGGTGGCGTAACACTGTGACTATAAGTACAGGAGTATGCACAGAGATAATCTGAACAGTGTTCTGCTGCTCCTTCATTGCTGAATTGCAAACCATAATGGGTCTTTGGCTAAGCTAAATTGTTTAAAGTGTCTGTATAAGGAAAAAAAACACATGTAACACATCTCTGCAATAATGTACATTTGCCACTGTAGCTGTGCCTCTTTTGCAGATCACCTCCCACTTTCCTGGTGACACAATAAAACCAGGAAGGTGTTTTGTAGTTCACGCTAACTGGGCAGGGTTGACAACACTGCTTAGGATTTCAGCACAGGTAGTTAGGAACTTACTGCATTTCTGTTGGGGGATAAAAAGATTTTACTTTGCTTGCAGAGTCTGGAAAGAGACAAACTGTAGGGACACGTGTATGCATTCCATTAAACATATTTTTTGCCCAGCCAGATTTGACTGCTGTATAGGCTGCAGATCCAGGATCTGGTTGTGCAGTCTGAAAGGGATGCCTGGATTGCAAGACTGGATAAACAAAGTAACAAAATCTTTGGTTTAACAGTTAATATATATGTATTAGAATGTGTTATGTTGGCAGCTTGGCGTTCAGTTTTTAAAGAAAACCGTATTAAATCTATATTGCAGCACCTGTTTAGACAGATTCCGAGCACCCGTTGACATCTAGCTCATGAAGCACTACTAGTAACCCTGCTTCAATACAAGTCAGATGCCAGCTGACCAGGTAGGCTACAACCACACTGCCTATGGGTAACATGGCGATTTGTGGAAAGCACTGTGGCCATGCAAAACCAGGGTCCTGTCCCACCTTATCTAAACCCTTTAAGGACTTTAACTTATATTCATTATTAGTTTAATTCAAAAGGAATTTTGAAGTGAGATAATAAAAGCAATGTAATAGGGAGTACAATGTTCTCTAAAATGTTTAAATGTGCACAGCAATTTCTTTTCTGGATTTTAGTTGTCTATGGAATATTGCCATAATGGCATTTAGGTGGCTTACTTACAAAGGCAGGAAATGGGAGCTAAAGTGTAGTGGGTTTTTTGTTTGTTTGTTTTTTAACAGTGACTAATCTGATTCCCTGTTTCAGTTTGCAGGATACTATTTAAGTCACTTTAGCAACAACTCCATTTAAAAAAAAAAAAAATAATCACCTAAAATAAGAACACAGGTGAAGTATTAAAAAATGGTGAGCATTTTCCTAAAATTAGTCGATCATTCTGCTAAAGAGGATTTAAGTTCCACAAGCTTGGTAGTCCACTGGTCAGAGGCAAGAAAAAGGATCTACTCATAGGAGTATGATGGTTTAGTTATATGGCTTAGTCTGTGCATTGGTCTGGAAGCTCCTGCTTACTCTTTAGGGCTCTTAGGCTTTCAGGCCTAGTAAGCGGGCAATGTTTAGCACATCATCCCTAGTGAGATAGCAGCCACAAAGTTGCCTGAAGCCTGTGAAAGACTCCCGTCCATGTAAGACCCTCCAGTTATCAACAAAGAGCACCTGAAAAAAGAATAAATAATTACAACATAGAATAAATTGGAAACATCTAAGAATATTAGCCAAGAGACTGCACCATGATAGTGCTGATGAACTATAAGTCCAATTTAATACACGCCATGCACCTAAAACTAAAATGTCAGTTTTGGTGGACCATGAATCAATTGGCATATAAATAATGGGTGTTACAATGTTTAAAAGCTAAGGGCACCTCTTTGATCACATTAAATGTTTAATGTTACACTGCTTTTCATATCTGGCTGAATTCATATCTTCAATGTCAAGAGCCATTAAATAATGATTTCTATGCAGAAATGTCTTCTCTGAAGTGTTAAAAAAGATCAGTGTGCAAGCAAAAACACAGAAAAAATAAGTTGCAGTCCTTCCCAGCTGCCTTTGTCTGAACTAATCTCATGTAACACAGGGCAATTTTGTGAATAAAACATATCCAAAAGATATGATGATACACATTTATGATATAAATCCATACCAGATAATCAGCTGTTTGGAAGATGGCTTAAAAGTATAAGTAAGCCCCAGATGTATTTTTCATTATGTTTGGCATTATGCTTTATTGTATACAGTTTTCTATGGCAAAATCTGCTGCGTACTAGGATATACAGCCAGTACCAGTACTTCTTGTTGCAGGCTCACAATGCTACACCACTACTTCACAATCAGCAGCAATGTTGTCAGTCTGCTATGTGTACTCCTCTAGTTGGCTGTTTAGTTGCCCGTCTGACAGACCTGATATGGAGTCCAATGGACAACTGAAGAAGTGCACGCAGCAGGCTGACAACACTGCTGCCATATACAGTTGTGTTCAAAATAATAGCAGTGTGTTGAAAAAAGTGAATAAAGCTCAAAATCCTTCTAATAGCTTTTATTTCCATACACACAAATGCATTGGGAACACTACACATTCTATTCCAAATCAAAACATGAAGAAAAATATATCAAATTTGTGTTGTTCCTCTAAAAAAAATGGAAGAAAAGTGAATATTAGACTGTTCAAAAAAATAGCAGTGTTTGTATTCTTCTTTACAAACTCAAACATTCACTATATAAACTGAAAAAAAATGTTTGAAGATTTTGCTTTCCTTTGAATCACTTAATGAATATTTAGTTGTATAAGCACTGTTTCTGAGAACTGCTGTACATCTGTGTTGCATGGAGTCAACCAACTTCTGGCACCTGTGAACAGGTATTCCAGCCCAGGATGATTGGACTACATTCCACAGTTCTTCTCTATTTCTTGGTTTTGCCTCAGAAACTGCATTTTTGATGTCACCCCACAAGTTTTCTATTGGATTAAGGCTGGCCACTCCATAACGTCAATCTTGTTGGTATGGAACCAAGATGTTGCATGTTTACTGGTGTGTTTGAGAAACATCCCCATATCATGATGCTTGCACAACCATGCTTCACTGTCTTCACAGTGTACTGTGGCTTGAATTCAGTGTTTGGGGGTCGTCTGACAAACTGTCTCCAGCCACTAGACCCAAAAAGAACAATCTTACTTTCATCAGTCCACAAAATGTTGCGCCATTTCTCTTTAGGCCAGTCAATGTGCTCTTTGGCAAAATTGTAACCTCTTCAGCACGTCTTTTTTTCAACAGTGGGACTTTGCGGGGGCTTCTTGCAGATAGCTTGGCTTCACATAGGCGTCTTCTAATTGTAACAGTACTCACAGGTAACTTTAGACCTTCTTTGATCTTCCTGGAGCTAATTGTTGACTGAGTCCTTGCCGTTTTGGCTATTCTTCTATCCATTCGAATGGTAGTTTTTCGCTTTCTTCCATGTCTTTCAGGTTCTGGTTGCCATTTTAAAGCATTTGCGATCATTTTAGCTGAGCAGCCTATCATTTTCTGCACTTCTTTATATGTTTTTCCCCTCTCCAACTTTTTAATCAAGGTACGCTGTTCTTCTGAACAATGTCTGGAACGACCCATTTTCCTCAGAATTTTAGAGAGAAATGCACTGTAACCAGCATGTACAACATTTGCTGCCTTCCTTCCTTAAATAAGGGCAATAATTGCCACCTGTTGTTCAAAGAATGAATGACCTCACTAATAGAACTCCACACTGCTATTATTTTGAACATGCCCCTTTCAATTAGTGATTCAATTACACAGAATCAGCAGCATGTATGTCATGACTGTTGGGTCTGTTGGATTTCTATTACTCTACTACACCTGCTAGTAAATTATTTGCCATTTGGAAATATCATTTCTACCAAAAACAGTGATTGATCAGGTTAGTGATGTCTGACTGCTATTATTTTGAACACAACTGTACAAGGCAGTGGCTTAGTGTTTTCAGCCTGTAACAGGAAGTACTATTACTGGCAGGATCTCCTGGAAAGAACTTTGCAACAGATTGGCAAAAAAAAAAAAAAAAAACAACTTGCTTATGAAAACTGCTTACAGTGGACATGAGGTCTAAGATCAGAAAACATAGGTTTGGAGTTTACATATGCGATTCTGTACTTTCCCTATACCAAGTAAAGTGATGGGCACGTTTTCTTAAAGTCTTCACAAAGGTTGAATGTAACAATGCAAGTATTATTTTAATGTAAGCTGCAGATTTCAAACAATTGAAAACAACTTTTGAAATCACATTTCCATGTTAAAGCTCATATAAGATTTTAGTGAGCGAATTTAAATCTACTTTGAAAAGACCACGTCCAGCAAGATAAACATACCATCCAAAAGGTTCTCACATAACAAGAAGTCAGGTTAGCTGTCAAAATAATGAAATAACTAGGAGACAGGAGTGTTTCCATAATTGAGCCCTTTTTTTGCAGAAAAAGGTTAGAACTGGAGGAGGACAGGCAATATTATATGCTCGATGTTCGATGTGAGGAATTCGTTTGGGTGAGCCTGCAGCCGTTCATCCATCTCCTTTGATATTGCTAGCATGGGTGTCAGTGTGGAATCTGAACACAATCTGCTCATTTGATCTCTTGATATGAGATCAATGTGTTTGATAAGAGGCTGATCTGTCTGTTGTGGCAAGCACTTGTGGACACCATAACACTTTGTTGGAAATTTTTTTTCAGCACACAGCATTTCACATTGGATTTGGGACTTTTTGCTAATTTACATTATGTACATTGACTTTTTAGCACTTTAGATGCATTTTGTGAACATTTTGTATATGAACATATTTATTTATGGTCCATTTTTGATATATTGTATTTAGCTATGGTGTTAGATTGGTTTAGTGTACAGCGCACTCAATTATTTTTTTGTTTTTTCACTTTCTGGTATTCAGGAAGAGAGTAGCAGCAGTTCACTTTATTTATTCATTCATTGCAATTTATATCATATTTTGTCATTTTTATTATTTGTTGGGTGTAGTGCAGGCTCTTTTTTCACATATATTCCATAGAGAATGTTACCTAGTGAATGTTCCATGAATGTACCAGCAAGTATGTAATGCACCTAAATGATAAATTGCTTAGTAATAGGAAATGGTTCAGTGGTGAAACTCTTTATTTTGCTGTATACAGGAAGCCCTTTTTTTTAAATCTCATTTAACATACCTTTCCTGGTTTCAGTTTCACCCACAGCTCGTTTTCAGGCCTCCTTAGCTCATTGCTTAGGATTCGGTGTGCAGCATACCAATGATGCACTAAATCATGGGGCACTGTGTTGATGACAGCACGATCATAGTTGTTGTATCTGAAAACAATTTTATTTTTTGTTAAAGTAACAGGCCTTGTTCACATATTAAACCTGTAACATATCCATCTGCTATGCAGTTTTTTTTTACATTAAAGTGATTGTAAAGTCTTTAAAAAAATAACAAACATGTTATACTTATTTGCTCTGTGGAATTGCACAGAGTGGCCCTGAACCTCTGGTACCTTGCCAGCGCTCTTGGCTCCTCCACTTCGCAGGGTGCCAACATAGGAAGCTGCTTCCTATCGTGGTACACCTGCATGCTCGATCCTTAGCTGTGCTGCCTGTGTCCACAGACACAGACAGCAGGGCAGGCCCCCCTTTGATTGAAAGCAGCTGGAGCCAATGGCTCCTGCTGCCCTCAGCCAAGTCTGTGAGAGCAGGGAGAAGAGGAAAGAGCTGCTACAGATGGGCACAGTACTGGATTGAGTGAGGTACGTATTGGGGGGTGGGGGGGCAATACTAATAACTAAACATGTTTTAACCTTAATGCAGAGAATGCCTTATGGTAAAAAATGTTTTGGCTTTAGAGCCACTTTTAGTCACTGCCCCCCACTCTACTCCTCTAACATTCACTGGAGTGCCAGGCTGGGAAGGGTGTTCACAGCTGGTTCCAACTCTCAGCAGGGTGCTGAAAGGCAGAGCCAGCTGTTATTCAGACAGCCAAGTGGACTGTGACAATATTATCGGGAACCTTCCTGAGACTGGCGGCGCAGCTCTGCCCTAACAACTGATAGGTGACAATAGCTGACTGTGTGTCACAGGAGAACTAAGATAAATGTACTCCTGTGATCGCAAAGAGCAGTATGGCTAAAAATGTGTTTGGCCATGCTTCTCTTTTAAAGCCCATCTTCGGGCACATATGAAACCCCCTCCCATTTGTCCCCCACCTTCCCACTGTCCTGCAGACTGGTGTGTCATATGACTACAGATTTAAGTAAGCAGAAAATAATATTGCGGAGGTGCTGTTTGAGGATCTGCTTGCCCAAAGAACAGTTATAAATCATAGCTCCAGGCTTAAAAGGAACAGCAAAAAATTTGACATAATTTTGAACTCCAGGCAAACTGCTAAAAATATTAAATAAATACACAATTGTTTATGAGAACTGTTTTACCTGCCAAATTGTTTTATATTTCTCTCCATCCAGAGATGTACACAGCTCTGTCACACAACACAGCCCTGTCTGGCAGGGCAAGAGATTTGATTTTATCTCCTGAAGTTAAGTAACAATTACAGGTCTTGCCCCACTACCCTGTGACTATACAGTGAAAAAAGAAGCAGCAGGCTGCAGAGCTCATCTCTCTGTCTCTCTCCTCTTATTTCCTATATGCATATTTCTTGCTAGCGCATGAGCACTGCATCTCTCTCTTCAAGTTTGAGCTCTGCTGCACAGCAACTGCAAGATCCTGATACCAGGTCAAATCCAGGTACTTTCATTACCTGTAACAAAGTACATTTATATATGAATTAATAAATACAGGGCTGTATTAACTGATATCAGAATGGAGTTTAGCTTTAAGTCCCTCTCCTTCTTAACAGCATGTGCTTTGGTCTTACTCATGAACTTCCTTTAAGGTGCTCTTAGTTTGTCATCTATACAGTTGCTTCTCATATGAATATCTTACTGCTCTAGAAAACAATAGAGTGAATCAGAGAATACAACCCCTCACATGATTACATGTGAATAGGGATAATGTGGACTCAATTCTGCTTTACATTCTGACTTTATTTGTGTTTGTCCAGTAAAGGTCAGCTTGAGTTACTGAGCACTATAATCAACAGTTATTGTTATAAGCAGAGATTGGGATAATCTATAATACATGTCAAAATGAGCATCAAGCTCTACCTGCTATCTTAAGTAAAATTTAACTTATTTTAACATAATTTTGGTCCTGCCATAATAGAAGGGAGTATGTAGATTATTTTACTAAATAAATCAATAGAAAAAGCGCCACACTGTATAACAATAATAAACTGTGTGTTAGCAGCAACACCCAACCAAAAAAATATATAAGAAATTAATTTGGCTGCAGAGTATTGCTTCTGGTAGTGATATGCTGTCCTTTATGCTGATTACCATTATTGATCACCTGGACGTGATTACTATTGAAAATTACTACATCTAATACCTGGATATATCGCTCACCCATCGCTCCCAGAGCACAAGCGCTATTGCTGGTCTATAATTTGATCAGCATTTAGCTCTGGTGAGTCCATCTAATTCATTTGGTGGTGGATTATTCACAGTGTTATGTATTCACAGAGGATATTCTGAGTTTGTTTTGGACTTGCACAGATTTATTATGGACACTTAATTATATGTAGATTTTTTTACCTTGAATTCTACTTGAAATACCATTCTTTTGCCTTTTTATGATTTTTATATGTCCCCCTATTCCATCCAAATTTTTCAAATTTTCATGGTTGCCACACATGATCTAAGCCAACATAAAGCCCTATGTGAGGATAAGCATGGCCACTGCAAGCAGTTTGTACGTAGTCTCATAAGAAATATATTCATGGTTTGCTAAACCCACACAGCATCAAAAATGTAGATTTAGAATTTAAAATTACAGTGTCAGGTATACATTTAAATGACATGTGAATAACCTATTTTATTAACATCTTGTCTGGTATGTACAGGCATGTTTTAGCTTGTCATGGGAGAAACAGGGAGGCTGACACTGGTGACCTCTCCTTCTAAAGATTCTAGTTAAATGTATTGCTAACTTTACTGCTTGCACATGGCACAATTCAAGTTAACTAGCATCAAATGATTTCTGTTGCTTCTGCAAGCAAAGATGACATTTTCTGAAGGCGAATTCCTTATGGCCAGTAAACTAAAAGTCAGAGGGGGCCCTCTGCTGGCATTGTGGGGAAATAGTTTCACATTCTTCAACAGGACAACAGAATGGTTTTAGTCAATGTTTATATATATATATATATATATATATATTACACACACACACACACATATATATACATATATGTGTCCAAAATTATTCAACCCCCAATGCTGTATAAGGGGTTATATATATAGTGTACATTTGGAATTGTATTCAGAATCAAATCCTACAAGGACGTTGTAACTACAAACCAAATGCAAAAAAATGACATCAATTGTTTATGTAAAATACAGTAGTAAATGGTTCTTATGTGGTTTTTCATATTGCCACAATTATTCAACCCCTTGAAAAGGAGACTAGACCACTCTGATGGCTACAAAGAAAAGTGCATAGTATAAATGGTTCATACAAGTGCTTTCCATCAGGTATTGAAAATCAACCTGTCAAAGGATGTCACCGAGCAGCAATCAAGCATCTAATAAGCACCAATTAGGCAAAAAAAAAAATGACTGTGATACTCAGTATAACTCCTTCTAGACATTTACTGGTCTTTTTGGTGTACAAACATGGTGAAGGCAAGAGAATGGTCCAGGAAGACAAGAGAAGAGGTGATTTCTCTTCACAGAAGGGCAATGGCTATAAGAAGATTGCAAAGATGTTAAACATACCAAGAGACACCTTAGGAAGCATCATTCGCAAATTCAAGGCAAAGGGCACTGTTGAAACGCTACCTGGTCGTGGCAGAAAGAAGATGCTGACTTCGACTGCTGTGCGCTACCTGAAGCGTAGAGTGGAGAGAAGTCCCCGTGTGACTGCTGAGGAACTGAGAAAAGATTTGTCAGATGTGGGTACAGAAGTTTCAGCCCAGACAATAAGACGCACACTGCGTAATGAAGAAGGGCCTCCGTGCCAGAACTCCCAGGCGTACCCCCTTGCTGTCTCCAAAGAATAAGAGAGTCGACTGCAGTATGCCAAAAGCCATGTGGACAAACCACAAAAGTGTGGGATAGTGTTCTGTGGACTGATGAAACAAAATTAGAACTGTTTGGGCCCATGGATCAACGCTATGTTTGGAGGAGGAAGAACAAGCCTATGATGAAAAGAACACCTTGCCTACTGTGAAGCATGGTGGAGGGTCAATCATGCTTTGGGGCTGTTTTGCTTCTGCAGGTACAGGGAAGCTTCAGCGTGTGCAAGGTACCATGAATTCTCTTCAGTACCAGGAGATATTGGATGGAAACGTGATGCAGTCCGTCACACACCTGAGGCTTGGGAGACGTTGGACCTTTCAACAGGACAATGATCCCAAGCATACCTCCAAGTCCACTAGAGCATGGTTGCAGAGGAAAGGCTGGAACATTTTGGAGTGGCCATCGCAGTCACCAGACTTAAATCCGATTGAGAACCTCTGGTGGGACTTAAAGAAAGCAGTTGCAGTGCGCAAGCCTAAGAATGTGACTGAACTGGAGGCCTTTGCCCATGAAGAATGGGCGAAGATACCCGTAGATCGCTGCAAGACACTTGTGTCAAGCTATGCTTCACGTTTAAAAGCTGTTATAACTGTAAAAGGATGCTGTACTAAGTACTAAGATTGAATGTCACTTGGGGGTTGAATAAAACTGATAATGCTGTGAGCACAGAAAAGACATTTGTGGTTATTTCATTATAACTGTTATGTTATATTTGTCTGACCTACAAGTGCCTCTTTAATGTAAATGTAAGCAAGATGACTGAATGATCAAAAGCAATGTCAAACTGGCCAAAACACTCAATTTCAGTGGGGGTTGAATAATTTTGGACACAACTGTATATATATATATATATATTATATATATATATATATATATATATATATATATATATATATATATATATATATATATATATATATATATACACACACACACACACACACACACACACACACACATATATGTACACACACATATACAAACCACCAGCAAAAAAACTGTTTATCTTTGAATTAAAAAAAATATATATATTATAATGCATATACATATTTACATACTTACACACATTATTTCTCTGTTTGAAAAGGAGACTAGATGTCTGTCTGCTGGCTACAAAGAAAAGTGCATAGTATAAATGTGCAATATTTAATAAATAAAAAGTTGGATTTTTGTGTTTACCATCAACCTAAGGTCAAAGGAAGTCTTAAACCTTCAGTTATACTGCCATCTACATAGGGGCTGGACACAGGTAAAAAAAAAAAAAAAAAAAAAAAAAAAAACCCTGTAGGCCAGTACCAGGTATAACTCCTTCTACTACCAGCATGCCTCTTTTTTGTAGCAAAGCAGTATGAAGAGCATGATGATAAACACAGAGGGGAGGACATGTGTCCCGCAACAGACTCCAAGAAAATGATTTTTCATTAAGTCTGTTTTTCTTCCATGTCCACTGAAGGACACAGGCAGTTTAAAACATTCAGTGCATTCAAAAGCAGTCCAACTGAGAAGTGAGCAACAGAAGCAAACAACCACTAAGAGGCCGTTGTGCAGTAGGAACTGGGGCTATAACTCCTTGGTCCAGAAACTGCCTGATGAAGATCAAAAGGTCACTGAGGGGACATAGGGAGGTTTGATGTTAGAAACTATGGAGGAAGAAGGGAATGAATGTAATCCTGGGACACCACCTTGTGCACCCAGGCAGTGGAAATGCAAGATGTTCAAGCATCTGCAAAAGTCAGCAGACGTACCCCTCCCACTCTGGAAAGTGGGAGAACACCTTCATGCCTAGTAGAGCTTGTTAGTAAACTTGAGAGCTTTGGAGCACTAGACCTTGTGGATGGAGACAGGGAGCCATGCTTGGGAGGTACCTCATGGTGGAAGCATGCTAAAGTGACATAGATGGATGGAGATGACTTTGCAGTCTGCTCGCTTAGCCTCCTTCTGTTGAGGAAGGTGAATGCTCCTTTTCCCAGTAGCATCCTTGATGATTACATCCAGAGTCAAACCAAAGAGACACCTCTTGAAGGCTAAGGAAACACTTTTTACAAGATGCACAGTCCAACACTTCAGCCGTAAGGCTGTATGCCTTTGCACTAACAACTGGCTAAAGTAGGATATTAACGTTGAGGCTTCTAATAGGCCAACACAGCTAAAATTCCAGACATCTGTTGCATGAGCCTAAGGAGCAGATAGTCAACAGCAGCAGTTGTTGGGTCCCTCCTAAGGAGTTTAGACCAGTCAGATATGGTTTGACAAAGTAGAATTACAACCAAAACCAGGTGTAAAGCAGAAACCGCTAAAGAAAACACAGTTCAAGGAAAGGCCTTCAACCACTAATTGGTGGATTCCTTGAATACTGGGCTATCTTCCACTGATATGATCATTGTCTAGTAAATATGAGAAATGGATAAAGATTAGAAAGGGATCATATCAGAACAAAGGCCTCACCAAACTGGTATGAGGATTTCAAACACTTAGGAGGAGGAAATAGCTTATCAGGGTGTTTCCAGCCTGCATAAAGAAACACCTGAAAGAGTGGGTGAAAAAGAAAGGCTGGAAAAACCACGGATAGAAGCAATAGGCTGATCCTCTATCTTCACAGTGGCGCACACTGCAACAAGAGCCAACACAGCCTTTTTAAATGTAGGAGAACTAGCAGGGGAATGGTGTCTCATTGAGGAAAACCTGATCAGATAGGGATTTCAGCGATTCAGAATCAGAAAAGGTTTCAGAGGCCAATGGCTCAGACACAAATAAAGCTGCAGGTAAATCATTTAGAGTAGCCTTTCTCAACCAGGGTGCCCAGGCACCCTGTGGTGCCTTGAGGTTTCTTCAGGGGTGCCTTGGCAAAATGTCTAATTTGTATAGAAGCCAGCCTGTTTTTTAGTTACACAAAGCCACAGGTTTTCATTGTGCACCATTACGACCTTCTAGCCGCCGGTGTCCTGACAACCAAGGACATCATTAGTTGATAAGGAGGATGTCAGCTGCCTGCACAGCATCCTAGTTTGACCCTCCCCTGCCCCTCTCCATCAGTCCTGGAGCCACTTTAGCTCAGTGATGGATGAAAACTGAGGGAGAAGAGAAACCCTGGAATACTACTCAGTACCAGTGTGAAAAAGTGTATTTGCTTTGGAAGAATAAATCACTGTCCTACATGTGTGGATGTCGCTGCGTTATATAAAACGATAAAAATAGTTTTTCACATTTTAGAATGGGATGCCCCTTTAAAATGATGGACAGTCTTGAGGCGCTCCATTTTAGAATGCCGTGCCTCAAGGCTGTCCATCATTTTAAAGGGTGCCTCAAGACTGCCCACAAGTTTAAAGGGTGCTTTGACTGAAAAAAAAAGTTGAGAAACACTGATATAGAGGATCTACAAGAGGCATGTGATCACAGTCAGAATATACCTGAGTAATTTGGGTCAATATGTCTGGCATGACTATGGTAAAACCCTCAGCCAAGGCAGAGGCTTCAGTCACACCCAAAGGAACACAAGATGACTCTGAGGAGAAAATGCACTTCTAAATCAGTGGAAAGCATTATTCCAGGTTACGACATGACCACTACCAGGGGGCGTGCTGCAAGTGGCCTCTGACTCATTGCAAGGGATTGTGCTTTGGACACCCAGCACAGCATGACTGTCCCCGTGTCTAGATTAGGACATGTGACTACAGTCTGATAAACAACATACAAGCTCAGGGTAGCAGGCAAGGCCTTGACTACTCAAGAAACCTAAACAGCTGGTAGTAGGTGAAGCTTCGCAGGTGAAGGATCGTTAAGCCCAAGGTGACCAAAGTCACTAGACAGGAATGGAATACAAACAGGAGCAGCAGACACATGCACATCACTCCATCCAGTGGAATTACTTCGGCTATCTCCCTTCCAAGGCAAAGGTTTCAGGAAATTAAGAATAATGACCAGTGAAAGTAAGGGAGCTCCTGAGACCAGTTCTGAATGGCCTACTCAATAAGTGATTCTTCAGAGACAGGGCAAGGGTAAAGGGTATGACAGTGGCTCTGGAAAGGCTCTGCAGCTAACTTAATCAAAATCAGCAGATTCCTGTGCCTGAAGGTCACTTCTTGGTTCACTCCACATTCTCTCTAGTCCATTGTTCTCCACGTGCAATATAGTAAAAAATATAGGCTGATAGTTGCAAGTTGGTGGATAAAACCACCAGCAGTAATTGATGTAGATGAATGTTGAAGAAGAAAAAGTACCTAGAAACAAAATCTAAGGTTATTTTTACAACAGCAGAGCTAAAGTAAAGATGGCCATCCTTCTAGGACACTAGCAAAAAACTGAGGCATGCTGATAGTAGCATGCTATAACTTGGGCTGGCCTACAGTTTTTTGTTAGTCAGTGTCCAGTCCTCTGGAAAGCAGAAGTATAAGTGAATATCTAAGACCTACTATGTCCTTCAATGGACAAAAAAAGAAATAACTACGTAGAAATAATATATATGATAGCCTCCTTCTGAAATGCTGGCTGCATGTCTCTGGTTTCAGTATACTCAGTGTCACTAGTCCTGAACAAGCACTTATCACTGAATTCAAAGTGAAGTCAGAACAACGAATAGTCATAACAGGTTAATGTCTAAAAAATGTAATTTATTGGATCTGACTGACAGACAAGGTACTTGCATTTTGGGAGTAGGAGGGGCAGACCCTGAGCAACCAGTTTGCAAAGAGCAGTCAGGCTAAAGTTTAACATTCTTACAGGATGGAAGAACACGGTGATGTTTTGCTGCCCATTCACTGTCCAATTTCAGGCTAGATTGGACCATGAACTAGGCTGTATGAGAGGCTGAATGACATGGCAGCTTCCTTGGCTGTAAAGGATAGCAGGGTTTAGTTCCACTCTAAGTAATTCATCTTTATAAATGCTGATAAATTAGGTTGTGTGCACACACAGGAGGAGGACTATACTGGTTAAAATGCAGAACTCAGCATGTAAAACAAAGTTGGTTTTCTGTAATTTTCCCTGTTTTCTACTGGTGACACTCACCTAATCATATAAAGCTCTTTATTCCAAGGATAAACATTCAGTACTGGTCCAATCCCCACCATGTGGTTGTGACTTGCTCCAACATTTTCAATGTATTCATGTTTCAGTGGCACAGTACAGAGGAGATCAAAGTCTTCAAGGTGATGTTGACGAACTTGTTCAGCAGCGTGAAAGCCATCCACCAACAGGGTGCGCCCTCCTGTGCCTTCATGCCGCAGACAGTGGAAAAGCTGCATACTAAAATTACCAGACACAGCAAATCAGTTAAAGAACTAGTAAAAAAGTAAATAAAGATATTTTACTGCTTAAGGACCACCCTATAGCAGATATACTGCTACAGGGCGGCACCTGTGCGCAGAATCATACATATATATACGTGATATTGCATTTCCGGGTAGGGACCACGTGTGACGCCATTCGCACCTGCGGATGTCAATCACCGAGTCCCAGCCGGTAATTACCCACTGGCGCCGGGTGATTACAGAGCATCTCCAACGAGGAGGAAGATTGTATATAAACTGTACAACTCAGTTGAACAACAAACTGAAATTTTTTAGGTGGAGGGAAGTAAAAATAAAAAACTAAAATAATATGGTTGCATAAGTGTGCACACCCTTAACCCCTTCACGCCTAAGGCTAAAACAAATCTTAATGCCTAGGAACAATCTTGCAACTTTGATATGCGTTAGTAAAACTGTAGATATCATCACAACTACTTTGTGCATCCAGATGAATTATACCTTGTTTTTGGGTTTTCATTTGGTGGTAAATGGTAATGGATATCTCCTGATTTTTTATTATCAAAAGGAAATCTGGCCCAAAATAGTAAAAAAAAATATATATTTTTTTAAATTTAGCTGTGTGTTTGTTACTACCATAACCTACAACCAAAGAATAACCCAAAATAAATTTTCCAGCTCTTGACGATTGCAGTGATACCATATATGTGTATGTTATTTGTTGTTTGTACCCACAGAACAGCCAAAAAACAATAGTGTGCATTCTGGGTTTTTCCTACTACCTAAAACACACTGACACTAACTGACACCGATACCAAGTTAACAATTTTTTTTTTTTTTAAATCCTGACCTTTGACCCTGACCCAAACACTAACCCGGGCACTGAACTAGATCAAACCTTGATCTAGGTATTTTTATTTTAGTTTTTAATATGTATTTATCTATCTTTTTTTTTTAACAAGCAATTTTATTTTCCCTCTATGCAAGGAGAGATTCAGAGAGGAAAAAAAAAAAAAAACAAGTGGGGCGGGCTGTAGTGACTGATCACTGTGATAGCCAATCAGAGGCTATTAAAGTGATCATGTGGTCTGGAATTGGGAGTCCCGGGTCTCAATTGTTAGAACGGGACCCGGGGCTCTCAATGACACCACGGTCTGTGCTGGGGAGCGCTATGCGTGGCACACTCCCAGCACAAAGACAGGTACGCAAATATGCAGCCCCACGGAAAAAAGCCCAGTTCTGTGAGGCCGCACATTTGTGTTACGTCGGCATGAAGGGGTTAAACTAATACTTTGTTGAAGCACCTTTTGATTTTATTACAGCACTCGGAATTTTTGGGTATGAGTCTATCAGCAAGGCACATCTTGACTTGGCAATATTTGCCCACTCTTCCTTGTTAAAACACTCCCAAATCTGTCAGATTGTGAGGGCATCTCCTGTGCTCAGCCCTCTTCAGATCACCCCACAGATGTTTGATCAGATTCAGGTCTGGGCTCTGACTGGGGCATTCCAAACTTTAATCTTCTTCTGGTGAAGCCATTCCTTTGTTGATTTGGATGTATGCTTTGGGTCGTTGTCATGCTGAAAGATGAGTTCCTCTTCATGTTCAGCTTTCTAGCAGAAGCCTGAAGGTTTTGTGCCAATATTGACTGGTATTTGGAACTGTTTATAATTCCCTCTGCCTTGACTAAGGCCCCAGTTCCAGCTGAAGGAAAAACAACCCCAAAGCAAGATGCTGTCACCACCATGCTTCACTGTGGGTATGGTGTTCTTTTGGTGCAGTGCAGTGTTGTGTTGTTTTTGCGCCAAACATATCTTTTGTAATTATGGCCAAAAAGTTCAACCTTGGTTTCATCAGACCATAACACATTTTTCCACAAGCTTTTGGGAGACTTCAGATGTATTTTTTAAAAATTTAGCCAGGCTTGGATGTATTTCTTCCGTCTTGTCACTCTACCCCATAGCCCAGACATATGAAGAATACGGGAGATTGTTGTCACATGTACCACACAGCCAGTACTTGCCTGATATTCCTGCAGCTCCTTTAATGTTACTGTAGACCTCTTGGCAGCCTCCCAGACCAGTTTTCTTCTCGTCTTTTCATCAATTTTGGAGGGACGTCCAGTTCTCGGTAATGTCACTGTTGCGCCATATTTTCACCACTTGATGACTGTCTTCACTGTGTTCCATGGTATATCTAATGCTTTGGAAATTTTTTGTACCCTTCTCCTGACTGATACCTTTTAACAATCTGTCTGATGCTTTGGAAGCTCTCTGTGGACCATGGCTTTTGCTGTAGGATGCGACCAAGAAAATGTCAGGAAAGACCTACTAGAACAGCTGAACTTTATTTAGGGTTAATCAGAGGCACTTTAAAATGATGGCAGGTGTGTACTGACTCCTATTTAACATGATTTTAAATGTTATTGCTTAATTTTGAACATGGCTGCATCCACAGTTAAAAGGGGGTGCACACTTATGCAACCACATTATTTTAGTGTTTTTATGTTCACCCCCCTCTAAAAGATTTCAGTTTGTTGTTCAGCTGAGTTGTACAGTTTCATTTGTTTACATCACAGAAACCTGACATTTTAACAGGGGTGTGTAGACTAATATCCACTGCACATATTTGTTAATGTTCCCCTTTAAAACTAATTTATTTGAATGTTATTTGCATTTCTACCTAATAACTCTTCAATAGGTTTTGCAAGCATAACAAATAGATTTTAGACGGAAGTTTGATGTGCTGCACAGATTATATGCACAATGATAGGATGCATTATTAGGCATTTAGCTTGTTTTATGTATAGTCTATCAAACTCACCCACAGGGTTCCTGGAAGTAGGTGGTATCTGTGTGCCGATCAAGGGCCAATTTTGTGTAGGCTGTGTCTCCCCGGGAGAAGTCAGATGTGAGGTCCCACATTTTACCATAGATTGTCTCCCTAAATAAAAACAGAGACATTTGTACCATCAACAAAGCTGCAATTCAATTATGTACCCCAAAGTCATGATGTCAGGTGATCATATACAAGCCAATTTAAAAATGAACTCCAGCACTACATAACCCCCAGCAACAATAGATCCTCCACCAGCAACAGTATAGCTCGCCAGCATCAATAGAACCCCCCCCCCCCGGTAAAACAGATATCCTTCAGCATCAATAGATTCCCCAGCAACCAGCATCAATGGACCCTGCAGTACATCCCACCACCCCTTGCCATTACATACACTTAGTGCTGAAGGTGCCATTCCCCCGCAGTCTTGCTGAAAAAGAGCCCTGAGTATAATTCAGACTGGGAGAGAGAATGGCCAATAAGGCTCTTCTTTTTTTTTTTTTTAATTCTTTATTTAATGGTATGCAACAGAAACAATAAAATGGCAACTTCACATATTACATAGACAGTTCGGGATAACAGATGCAGAATCTAAGAACAAGTGTAATGCTCTGTTAACAAATCCGCCTATGATAGCGGAACAAAAAAACTGTGGTAAACGGACAGCAAGCCACCAATCTACATTAGCAGTGGTTAGAAACTTTGTGTAGTGAGACACACTGTCATCAGCACGTCCTTAGTGAAGGGTCCCTTGAACAGTCGCTTAGAGCCATTGGTATCTGAGGTGAAGTCTAAAGTGAGGTAGCCTACCACCATCTTAGTATACCAGGTTTTTGTTATATATTATAAAGATAAAGAGGATAAAGAGCTATGAGAAAGGGAAAAAGTATAGAGGAAGGAGGATGGAGGATAAAAGAGGGGAAAAAAAAAGAAAAAAAAAAAAAAGGGAAGGGAGGCGGAGGCTCTTCTTTATACACATGTGGTAACAGAGAACTAGGGTGAGCCGAGCTGATGACTTAGTGTTTTGTTGCTTCTTCATTATCCAATCAGTGGCCTACAAAGCTGAAACAAACCTTGGTAATATGTGATTAAGAAGGCAAAGGCAGATGTAAAAGAAAGGCTTATGTTCAAGACACAAATTACTTGACAGAAAAATCTGCTCTACACTTTACGAAGTTCAATGGTCACAGTGTATGCTCTCATTTTATAACATCAGCATTGTCATAGCAGTAAAAACAATAGTGACTCCTGTACTGACTCTGCCTCCTAAAACCCTCCTCTGAGCACCTCTATAATTCAGAAGGAAGGCTCTGTGAAATGCACTACACAGCAGTTCCAACTCACAGGGCATAACGTGTCACAGAATTCAAGAAAGAGGGGAACTTCACAAAGTTAAGTTTACAAAGATCACTGATAAGAGTAGGCTAGGCATAAATGAAATACAATGTGCAAATTAATATATGATTTTACATTTTGACCATAGCTACTCTTTAAATGCTTCAAAAGGTATATAGATAGCTTTACCTTTCAATGTGTATGGTTAGACAATAATTAGAATAGAATTCAGCCTGGTCAATTCTGCTGTGGAAAATCTTATTTTGCCTTGAATTTAAAAAATGTAAGACATGACTTGATTAAATCAGGTGATGTCATAGCAAGAATCAAGGTTAGTTGGGTTTCAGCAGAGAGAGCAAGCATTATGTTTGGAAATCTTTGTGGATAATCTTTAATCATTCCTTTTCTTTTATCATTCATTTTACTTTGGACACTGCATATGTGTTAAACTGTAATGAAGATCAACAGGTATTCTACAAATGCTAGAATATCTCACTCCCCATCCATCTCAGTCAGAAATCTACCTTTCTATGGCTTCCAACAATTTTCCAAAATAAATTCAGGGGTGTGGACATTTTTTTTTTTTAAAATTACTTGTCCAGGGACTAAATCAGGGTCCCAATCTGCTTGTCCCTCATGACAATCTACTTGTCCTGCTAAAAAACACAAACTGTATTTAAATCTGAGGTGATTTTATGATCGTCTGGGGCTTTTAAAGATGAAAAGGGCCTTGTGGCAATTTAAATGTTTAATATTTGTAACATTGCGCTGTTTATCTCCTTCTCACCTCCCTGCCTGTCTCCAGCACTGCACAGTCTTTTAGATTCTGCATGTCTCCTTTGTGTTCAACTGAATGTAATGCAGTGCACATAGTACCGCATTATATTCTTTCCCAGCCATCTGTCAACGGGGACCCGGAAGTGACATCATACAACCTCACTTCCTGGTCACAGGAAGAAGGGGAGGAGAACGGAAGTGTGTCTGCTCTACTCCCTCCCCACTACTACATGCCAGCACCTGCTGAGCTAATCCATGGCCCGCAGATGGGCAAGAGGAGCCCAGGAGACATAGCAGGGTGGGTTTGGGGGCTGCCAACTTAGCGAGGTGTTCCACCTAGCAAGTAAGCCCTGGTAAATGGAAACAAAAACGACCTGCCCTAGCGCATGGCACTGCATGTCCCGGGCGTCGGGTGAAACAAATCTCACATCCCTGAATATACTTTTATTCAGTACAATAGCAAGATTTTATTGGAAACGTTTATGTGCCAAGCTCATGATCAGACAAATATTTGGATAGAAAGTGTGATAGAAGATGATGGTTATAGGAATACCCACATCACAGAAATATACAGTATATGCAGGCTTAGTTCTAGTTACCGGATATGACTAATTCTCTGTGCAGCCCTCTCTGTATCCTCCCGGGTTGCTGGAACATCATCAACAAAGGCGATGCCATACAGTAAGAAGTTCTTCAGAAAGTCTTTAAGTCCTTCATTTGTTTCAAGGAAATCAAAGTAGCTGATAGATGGCACATTTGCTTCCTTGTAAGTATTCGCATTCCATAAAATTCGAGGCTGAACAAGTTGCTGTTTCTGTCCTTCATAGCTATTCTGTGATAACCATTCTAACCCATATCTGGTCATGTGCCCATCTGGCCCTATCAAATGTGAAAACAAAACATTACTTTACTAATAATCAAAAGGACCGATCTTACTCTTTGCACATAAAGCCCTGATCAGTTCAAGTACCAAGAAATTACAGTTGTGCTCAACAGTATGCATACCCTGGCAGAAATTGTGAAATTTTGGCATTGATATTGAAAATATGATTGATCATGATAAATAACTTTCATTTAAGGACAGTGATCATGTGAAGCCATTTATTATCACATAGTTGTTTGGCTCCTTTTTAAATAATAACAGAAATCACCCAAATGGCCATGATCAAAGGTTTACATACCCTGGAATGTTTTCCCTTGGTACAGATACACAAGGTGGCACACACAGGTTAAAATGACAATTAAAGGTTAATTTCCTACATCTGTATCTTTCTAAATTGCAATTAGTGCCTGTGTATAAATAGTCAATGAGTTTGTCAGCTCTCACATGGATGCACTGAGCAAACTAGATACTGAGCCATGGGGAGCAGAAAAGAACTGTCAAAAGACCTGCAGAACTTTATAAAGATGGAAAATTATAGACAAAGATTTCCAAAGCCTTGAATATGCCAATCATTACTGTTCATTAATTTATTAAGAAGTGGAAAATTCAGGGATCTCTTAATACCAAGCCAAGGTCAGGTAGAACAAGAAAGATTGCAGCCATCATTGCCAGAAGAATTGTTGGATACAAAGAAAAACCCACAGGTAACCTCAGGAGAAATACAGGCTGATTTGGAAAAAGACAATGTGTTTTTTCAAAGAGCACAATATGGACGATACTTGAACAAAAATTAAGTGCATGGCTGTGTTGCCAGAAAGAAGCCTTTACTGCACCAATGCCACAAAAAAAGCACAGCTACAATATGACCTACAACATCTTGACATGCCTCACAGCTTCCGGCACATTCTTCTTCACTGTAATCTGAAGTGAAGAGACCAAAATAGAGCTTTATGGTCACAACCATAAGTACTATGTTTAGAGAGGGATCAACAAGAGCTATAGCAACAAGAATAGCATCCCCACTGTGAAGCATGGTGGTGGCTCACTGATGTTTTGGGGGTGTGAGCTCTAAAGCCACAGGGAATCTTGTGAGAATTGATGGCAAGATGAATGCAGTATGTTACCAGAAAATACTGGCAGACAATTTGCATTCTTCTGAACGAAAGCTGTGCACAAGGCCAAGTTGACCCTTCAGTGGTTACAGCAGAAAAAGATGAAGTTTCTGGAGTGGCCAATCTCCTGACAATGCGCTGTTATTGATGCTAAAAGGGGAAACACACAGTATTAAGAACGAACGGTATGCAGACTTTTGAACAGGGCTCATTTCATTTGTTTCCTTGTTGACATATTTTATTTTAGGATTGTGCCTTTCTGTGACCTACAGTTGAATATGAATCCCATTAGAAAGAAATGTGTTTTGCCCGCTCACTCATGTTTTCTTTAACCATTAGCCGCCCGGCCAATGGCCGTTTGGCGGCTTCAAAAGTGCTTCGGCATTCCGGGTGCACGCCATTTGGCGTGCTCCCGCACATGCACAGTTTGAGCTAATGCAGAGCCGCGCAGCGGCGCGATCTGTCACCGGCCGTGTACCTCGGACACAGCCGATGACAGATCTGAGTACCGGCCCCCGTTGCTGGTACTATGTGACCTGCTGTGACCAATCACAGCAGGTCACATGACAGTTGTATACAATGGATGGCTTCATTCATGCCATCCATTGTATACTAGTGCCTAGCTGTGAATGGTCACAGCTAATCACATGCACATGTCATGTGATTAGCTGTGGCCAAATCACAGCTAAGCACAAAAAAAAAAAAAAAAAAAACCTGAATGAATCGATTTCATTCAGGCAAATGCTTGCTTATAGCAAAGTAATTCTTTGCTATAAGCAAATTGTGTAAAAAAAAAAAAAACAAAATACTGATCACTTCCCAAAAGTAGTACAATGTTACTATGTAACATTGTACTACTTTGGTCATAGTAAAATATGAAAAAAAAAATCTTAAAAAAAAATAAAAAAAAAGTAATAAAAAATTAAAAAAATAATAATAATAAAAAAAAAAAAAATATTTTTTTTTTTTCATACTGTCACCAGTCAGTGTCCCTGTTCACCGCCATGCCAGTTATATGATGACGCTGTACTGCACTGGTGACCGTATGTAAAAAAAAAAAAAATAGTGAAAATAATTTTTTTAATTTTTTAATTTTCCGAAAAATGACAAAAAAAATACAACTTCAAAAAACTCGCCATGCCTCTTATGAAGTACGTCAGACTGTCTACTCTGCAAAAAGGGGTCATTTGGGGATATCTGTACTATTCTGACATTCTTGGACCTCAAGAAATTAGATTGGCTGTCAGTACTTCAGGATTGATCAATATTCAGATATACACCATAGTTTGTGAACTCTATAACTTTCCTACAAACTAAATAATACATCCTAATTTGGGTTATTTTCACCAAAGACATGTAGCAGAATACATCTCGGCCTAAATTTATGAAGAACAATTATTTATTTGTAAACTTTTATAACAGAAACAAAGAAAAACTTGTTTTTTTTTTCAAAACTTTTGGTCTTTTTTTGTTAATTTAGCAAAAAATAAAAACCCCAGCGGTGATTAAATACCACCAAAAGAAAGCTCTAGTTGTGTGAAGAAAATGATAAAATTTTAGTTTGGGTACAATGTTGTATGACCGCGCAATTGTCATTCAAAGTGTGAGAGCGCTGAAACGTGAAAAATGGCCTGGGCAGGAAGGTGTAAAATTGCACAGTATTGAAATGGTTAAAAATGGTACATACTATACCAATTCTCCAATGGTATGCAAATTTTTGAGCACAACTGCACATGCAAAATCATACCACATTGGTCCAGGACTCCAGCCATCAATGCTAAACCATTCCCGCTACAGAGCACATTTGCTAGTGATGCAAGACACATAAGGGTACACTTTTACATGTGTTTTGGGATTGCCCTTTAATTTGCCCGTTGTGGCAACAAGTTTTACATTTAATACAACAACTTACAGACATATCTCTTTTCGATAATCCTGCGGTGGTTCTACTGAACATGACCCTTGTCTAGAAAAAAAGTAATTACTTATTCATCTTTTGAAAGCTGTGAGAGCCTGCATTCCAAGCATGTTGAAACAACAGACCCCCCTACAGTATCACAGTGGTTTTCCAAGGTGAATAATATAAAATGGATAGAACACATACTTCAGCCTTTACAAACCTGAAGCACATATGACTAGATGAGAACAGTTCAAACTATCCTCTAAATTCTTACCCGTCACCATGTACACTCCTGGTGACTCTTCTTCTGGACACCTACTTTGTCCTAAGCCGACCAGGAAGTGTTGCGAGCCACCAGCAGAGCCCGGAAGAGCCTTCCAGGGATCTACAGTCAGCAGGATCGGACTGGAATCAGACAGTGGTGCTTGTAGCTAAGTGAGCACTCTTCTTGCTGTTTGTGAACTGATTACTTGTGGAAATAAAAGTTTGTTGTTTGTGCTACACTTAGATGTTGCTGTATCCCTTCTTCCATTTTGTCTTCACACAGAGTATTTTCTAGCTCTTACTGAAACAGCTGCCATTGAGTCAAGCTTTTTGTGAACCTTTGGATTCATTGGACGTTAAAGCAGAGCTCCACCCAGAAGGGGAAGTTCCTCTTTAAGGACCCATCCCCCGCTCCCCGTTAAGGATTGGCACCTATGGGGAATGGGTGCCAGATTTTGACAAGTACCCACTCCCACTTCAACCACCTATGCGATCGGAAGCAGAGGTTCTCTAAGCAGTCTTCTGTGACATGTGAAAAGTCCCAGAAGACTGTGGGCCCATTCACAATGCGCAACGGTGCTCGCCCATGCGCAGTGGGCACCTGTTTGTGAATCCGCACGCTATCAGAGCCAGGTGTCCACACTTAAGATGCCAGAGGACGGCCGGTTTTTGTAGCTGTCGACTTTTATTTTTGCATCCACATCTTTCCCAATATACAATGAAAAGGCTCTTATAATGGGGATGCATATTCCCAAACTTACATGTTAGATATATGGTGGTCTCATCTACTCGGACCTGTGCAGGTCTGATGTCCAGTTCTACGCTGGCTGTGTCCAAACTACGCTGGTTGGTTTTGGGGTTGTAACAAGAAGCCGAGCGGCAGTGATCCCGCAACCACACGTAGTCAAAACGCATACAGGTTCCAGAATAAAGCAGTTCTATTTAAACAAACACAGATAGTAAAATAGTTATCCAGTTGTAGTACATTTATTTCATTCCACATTCATTACTGATTTACGTAGAACTTGGTATTAGATGTTATGTTATTAACTAAGGAAGGTTAAAGGTAATCACTTTGGTGTGTGTGTGTATATATATATACATATACATACACACACACACAGTGCCTTGAAAAAGTGTATTCATACCCCTTGGAATTTTCCACCTTTTGTCATGTTACAACCAAAAATGTAAATGTATTTTATTATTAGGATTTTATGTGACAGACAAGCACAAAGTGGCACATAATTGTGAAGCAGAAGGAAAATAACTGGTTTTCAAAATTTTTTCACAAATAAAGATATGAAAAGTGCGGCATGCATTTGTATTCAGCCCCCCCCCCCCCCCCCCCCCCCCCCCCCCCCCCCCCCCCCCACCCCCCCCCCCCCCCCCCCCCCCCCCCCCCCCCCCCCCCCCCCCCCCCCGAGTCAATCTTTGTAGAACCACCTTTCGCTGAAATTACAGCTGCATGTCTTTTTGGGCATCTCTCTACCAGCTTTGCACATCTAGAGAGTGACATTTTTGCCCATTCTTCTTTGCAAAATGGCTAAAGCTCGGTCAGATTGGATGGAGAGTGTCTGTGAACAGCAATTTGCAAGTCTTGTCATAGATTCTCATTTGGATTTTGACTGGGCCATTCTAACACATGAATATGCTTTGATCAAAACCATTCCATTGTAGCTCTTGCTGTATGTTTAGGGTCGTTGTCCTGCTGGAAGGTGAACCTCCACCCCAGTCTCGAGTCTTTTGCAGACTCTTAACAGGTTTTCTTCTATGACTGCCCTGTATTTGGCTTCATCCATCTTCCCATCATCTCTGACCAACTTTCTTCTCCCTGCTGAAGAAAAGCATCCCCACAGCATGATGCTGCCACCACCATGTTTCACGGTGGGGCTGGTGTGTTCAGGGTGATGTGCAATGTTATTTTTCCACCACACATAGTGTTTTGCTTTTAGGCCAAAAAGTAAAATTTTGTTCTCATCTGACCAGAGCACCTTCTTCCACATGTTTGCTGTGTCCCCCACATGGCTTCCCCCAAACTGCAAATGGGACTTCTTATGGTTTTCTTTCAACAATGGCTTTCTTCTTGCCATTTTTCCATAAAGGACAGATTTGTGGAGTGGACAGATCCTCCCACCTGAGCTGTATGTTGCTACTTCTTTTGTGCAGACTGTGGTTTTTGTGACCTTACCACATATGGTCACATTCATTACCTAAAAAAAGTTATGACCAGACTGGTTAAAACCAGTCATTTGGTAGAACTGGTTAAAAATAGTTCAAACCCCCCACATATACAAAAGAACAAAGAAGACCCTCAGAGACTCGTCTAAGACAGATTAGTGAATGTGCCTAGAACCTTGAGAAGACTGGCAACTCCACGACTTTCTGAAGTTTGCAGACGTTGAGGGGCTCCCTGGTTTGAATTGAAGCTGTGTTTCTCCAATATATCATCTGTACTCCATCTCTAACTGAAGCTAAGCAAATGTCTTTTATTACTTTACTACTTGTGATTTGTTATAATTATTACACTACATCCACAAATCTGGGTAATTATATGAACCTGTTAATAAATAACTAACTGTAACAAGGAATTTAACCTTTTGTCACACTGGTGGCTTTAAACAGACAAGGTTAAATGATTTGCAAACCAGACTGTCTGTTTCCCTTAGGAATCAATCAAATTTTTCAATTGAGGCATTGTAGAAAAACGGCAATAACTGTATTTGCTGCAATCGGTAGTACAGACCTTTCTTGCTTCTGAAATTTTAACAAAGGAAGAACTTAGTTCTTTTCATATATGTACATTGTAAAAATGACTTTTCAAAGGGGAAGTTACACAGGAAGCGTGGAGGGTCTTTAGAAAAACAACATAATATTTCGCAATTAGTTCTTATTTCATGAGCACGCGTTTATCAACTCAAACAGACTGTGTATCAGGCTGTTACAAAACATCAGCAACCTTCATTTCATCTGGGACAATCTGACAGGGTATGCTATCAAAAAAATGCACACTACACTTTTCACATATTTATTTGTAAAAAATTTGGAAAGCCATTTATCATTTTCCCTCCACTTCACAATTATGTACCATTTTTGTGTTGGTCTATTACATAAAATCCCAATAAAATACATTTATGTTTTTGGTTATAACATGATAAAATGTGGAAAATGTCAAGGACTATGAATACTTTTTCAAGGCACTGTACTCAGCACTATGCTGTATGCAGAGGCTTAACAAAAAAAAGCCACCCCTCTCAGATCAGAAAGTGCTGCATACAGTTTTTATGGACCACTGATACACATGGCCTGGAGATTATGCTTGGCAAAATCAGACCCTGCAGTGTGGATTTGTAATAATATGATCATTGTAACTGTTTTGTATTTGTACATATGTACAAAAAATTTCAGTATTTTTTCAATTAAAGGTTTTACACTGTCAGATTCTCTTTTTTCTTTTTGCTTGACTGTGCATTAAAAGGCTAAGCCCCTGTTAGAGAAGCAGTTGGTGGAGGAAGCCAAGAGGGTGACTGAAGGTAACTTAAACAGAGACCACAGGAGTGACCGAGGACGATCTGGATCCTTTGCCAATGGAGTGAGGAGAGTGCGAAGACGGTTTTTAACTCTGGCAGCTGAAAAGCTAGAAGTCATATTGCTCTGGTGAGTGGGGATGCACTAATAAGGGGGCAACGCTCACCATCATGTGTGCAATAGGTGGAAAAAGGCAGTGGCTATTTTACAGTTGGCTCAGTTTGAGCATGGAGCACTTTACATATGTTATGAACTTTTTATTGATTAGTGAACTTTATTGAAATAGGTGTAAATTGTAAGCAGTAGATTTGCAGGGAACATCAACTGAGCACAAAACAGTATATGCATTTTATGATTTTGGTTTATTTAACTCAGTAGTTAACACCATTGGATTATTTAAGTAGGTGCAAAGTAGAAGCAGTAGATCTGCAGAGAATATTAATTTGAGCACAAATCACTTTTTGTAGTATATGAATTTGCGCATATTTTAGTAGGTATAATTTATTGGTGAAAATAGTAAGATTAATGAAGCAGGTGTAAAATGGAAGCAGTAGATCTGCAGAGAATATTAATTTGAGCACGGAGCATTTTATATAGGAATTTATGCACATGGTTTTAATAGGAGACAGCTGTGAATAATGATGATCATTTTGTAAATAAGTTAACTCACCAAAGTGATCTTTGTGCAGGACCCAGGAGCACTCTTGTGTTGCTGGAGCCATGCTGAGATAGCGGTTTCCTATACCTGTTGATCTGCAGAACCTGGCTGATCCATAATGCTGTCCTTTGGCAGCCTTTATTCCGAGTCTCCTGGCCTCTGAAAAGAGCTGTGCCAGCTTATGACTCCACATGCTGTTCCAGGGGGAAAATGCATCAGAGCCGGGCGAGCAAGATAATCTGATTGTGCTAACCAGATGAAGTCTCTAGAAGGGAGGAGAAAGCATCTGATGATCAATGGTAGGGACTGGGCTAAAGAGAAGGTCACAGTGTAGAAAAAAAAAAAGCAAAAAAACAAAACAAAAAAAAAAAAAAAAAACCCACAAAACATGGCAAATAAAACCAGGAAGAGTATACAAACATAAAACTGAAATCTTGAGAAAATCAGAGTGACGCAGAAATAGCAACCCTCTAACATCTTTTGTGCCAGATCAGCATGTCCTAACCTTTACCTTATGTTCTGTATACACAGTACTCATAGACACATAATTAAGAAGTCAGATTTTCTTTTTTGGGATTCCCCAGAACTACAGTGAATATGTGTGTTCCCATGAAGTTGAATCATTGTTATTAAAAGATCTGAGCCAGCAGCACAATCATGCGCAGTTTATTAGGGCACAGCATCTGGAATACAGTTTAACTACTTCAAGTCCGGACACTTTTACCCCCTTCCTGTCCAGGCCAATTTTTCAGCTTTCAGTGCTATCACACTTTGAATGACAATTGCGCGGTCATGCAACACTGTACCCATATGAATTTTTTAGCATTTTTTTTGAGACAGATAAAGCTTTACTTTAGTGGTATTTATTCACCACTGGGATTTTTCTTTTTTTTGCTATATAAATGAAAAAGTCCAAAAATTACAAAAAAAGTGTTTTTCTTATAAAATTTTGCAAATAAATAATATTTCATCATAAATCTTGGCCAAAATGTATTCAGTTATCTTTTTAGTAAAAAAAAATAATAACCCAAATTAGTTTATAACCAAAAATTATAGTTTTTTTTAAAAAATATATTGTCACCCTAGCAGTACAGTGTCACCATGGTGACACTGTACTACTTGTGGGGGGGTGATAAAGAACTTTTTTTTTTTTTACACGGATTGCTTTTACACCCATAAAGGCTGTAAGAGCAGTCATTTCTCCTTCTCGATCGGTGTTCCACTGTGTCAGGAGGACACAGCGGGCACTGGATCGTGGTGCTCCCAGGGAGCGCACACAAGCAGGGGGCAGGGAGGCTATTTATAAATGGCCACCCGCCCCTGCAGTTTATATAGAACGGCCGGAATGGGAGGTGGTTAAAGAAGCAGCCCCCAAGCTGGTAAAGATCACAATTCCCAACATGGCTTGCCAAAAGCTCTGTCTGCATCTTAGAGTGCTAAATTCTGTGGGTTTCAACTACAAACCCCAAGTTTAAGCTTGTGAAAAAAAAAAAAACTGAAACACTTCTTCCAAATTTTCTAGCAGCTGCTAAGAGCATTCATTTCTCTCAGGCTCTTTAATTTTGCCATTAACTGGTATATGGTAGCAGGAAAAGAAGGCTTGGACAAAAGGAACATTTAAAGCGACTCCATGCTTCTGCTAATCAATTAAATATTTAAAAAGAGTATGTCTAAACAAAAAAAAAAACGAATATATTCAGGACAGCTCTCCAATACATGCACATTTCCCTGTTATATCCCCTAAAATCGCTGCACATACAGAAATATACCCCTTTATCCCAGCAAAACACCAGTGAACTGACAATGTTGTCTTTGCTACACTAAGATACACTAATCCAAACAGTGGAAGTTATTTACTAAAGCTAGAGAGTGCAAAATCAGGTGCAGCTCTTCACAGAAACCAATCAGCTTCCAGAATTTACTAACTGAACAAGCTGAAGTTAGAAGCTGACTGGCTACCACGTACAGCTGCACCAGATTCTGAGTGCTCCAGTTTTAGTAAATGCACCCACGTTATCAACTCTACATGAGTTCTCCTTTGCTGGACTTATGAATACACACATCCCCCCTACGTTATGTTAATGAGAATACAAGAAGGTGTTCTGTACCCCAGCAAAGGGAAACTGGGTAGGGATGACTATATTGCTTGGGATTTCAGAGCAAAGGCAGGGTTGTTAACTTGTTGGAAGGTAAAAGTATTTCTGGCAAGATAAAAAAAAAATCTGTACTTGCTGTGTTTCCTAAAGAAATGAAACATGGAAAAATGTACATGTATTGCAAAGACGCATTTTTTTTTTTATTGCTCAGACATACGCTTTAACTAGAAAATAACCACTCCATTGCATGCGTTTGTGATGTCCCAATCTGTTCTATAAGGCAGTAGTCTATACAGAATGATTTTGATGTACATAGTTGCACAGTCAAGTGAAATAAGACACATGTCCATCAAGGTTACCCAACAGAAGATATATAAACTATATTGACAAAAGTATTGGGACGCCTGCCTTTACACACACATGAACTTTAATGGCATCCCAGTCTTAGTATGTAGGGTTCAATACTGAGTTGGCCCACCCTTTGCTATAACAGCTTCAACTCTTCTGGGAAGGCTGTCCACAAGGTTTAGGAGTGTGTCTATGGGAATGTTTGACCATTCTTCCAGAAGAGCATTTGTGGAGTCAGGTACTGATGTCACATAAGGCCTGGCTCGCAGTCTCTGCTCTCATTCATCCCAAAGGTGTTCTATAGGGTTGAGGTCAGGACTCTGTGCAGCCAGTCAAGTTCCTCCACCCCAAACTCGCTCATCCATGTTTTTATGGACCTTGCCTTGTGCACTGGTGTGCAGTCTTGTTGGAACAGGAAGAAGCCATCCTCAAACTAACAAGAAAGTTGGCAGCATGAAATTGTCCAAAATGTCTTGGTATGCCGACGCCTTAAGAGTTCCCTTCACTGGAACTAAGGGGCCAAGCCCAACCCCTGAAAAACAACCCCACACCATAATCTCCCCTCCACCAAACTTTACACTTGGCACAATGCAGTCAGGCAAGTACCGTTTTCCTTGCAACTGTCAGACCCAGACACATCTATCGGATTGCCAGACAGAGAAGTGTGATTAGTCACTCCAGAGAACACGTCTCTACTGCTCTAGAGTCCAGTGGCAGCATGCTTTACACCACTGCATCCAATGCTTTTGCATTGCACTTGGTGATGTAATACTTGGATGCAGCTGCTCAGCTATGGAAACCAAGTCCATGAAACTCTCTACGCACTGTTGTTGTGCTAATCTGAAGGCCACACGAAGTTTGGAGGTCTATTGACTCTGCGGACAGTTGGCGACTTCAGCATGAGCTGACCCCGCTCTGTCATTTTACGTGGCTTTCCACTTCGTCGCTGAGTTGCTATTATTCCCAGTTGCTTCCACTTTGTTATAATACCACTAAAAGATGACTATGGAATATTTAGTAGCAAGGAAAGTTCATGGATGAACTTATTGCACAGGTGGCAACCTATCACGGTACCATGCTTGAATTCACTGAGCTCCTGAATTACATGCTGATCACAGGGAAATGCAATTGCCGATTCTCGGCTGCACTTTCCTCAAGCTGTCAGATCGTGAGGAAAGTACTGCCGAGAACCGGCAGTTGTTAGAGCAGGGATCGGCACCGATCATCAGGGCACTGATGATCAGTGCCCAGCAGTGCCACCCACCAGTTCCTCCCACTTGTGCCCAGCAGTGCAACCACCTGTGCCCAGCAGTGCCCACCAGTGCCGCCCAGCAGTTCCACCCACCTGTGCCCAGAAGTGCCATCCAGAAGTGCCACCTACCTGTGCCCAGCAGTGCCACCCACCTGTGCCCACCCGTGCCACCCACCAGTGCCCACTAGTTCTGCCAGTCAGTGCCACCAGTCAGTGCCCAGCTGTTGTGCCAGTCAGTGCCTAGCAGTTGCGCCAGTCAATGCCTAGCAGTGCCGCCAGTCAATGCCCAGCAGTGATGCCCGTCAGTGCCACCTATCAGTGCTGCCTATCAATACCCATCATCAGTGCCACCTATCAGTGCTGTCTATCAGTACCCATCATCAGTGCCACCTATCAGTGCTGCCTATCCGTGCCACCTCATTAATGCTGCATATCAGTGTTGCCTATCAGTGCCCTTCAGTGCTGTCTATCAGTGTCCATCAGTGCTGCCTCATCAACGCACATTAGTGAAGGAGAAAAATTAACTGTTTGTAAAATTTTATAATAGAAACAAAGAAACTTTTTTTTTTTGTCAAATTGTTTGCACTTTTTTTGTTTATAGCGCAAAAAGTAAAACATCCAGTGACGAGTAAATACCACCAAAAGAAAGCTCTATTTGTCAGAAAAAAATGATAAACATTTCATATGGGTACAATCTTGCATAAACGCGCAATTGTCAAAGTGCGACAGTGCTGAAAGCTGAAAATTGGCCTGGTAAAGAAGGGGGTATAAGTGCCCGGTAGGCAAGTGGTTAAAAATACCCCTGTGATAAAATTATAGGCCCTTCATTTCTTTGTAAGTGGGCAAACTTACAAAATCTGCAGAAGATCAAATAATTATTTAACCCACTGTAAACTGATCACATAATAAAATAATTATTTACAAAATCTAATATTTGCAATCTATACTGTCAATTAGCAACATGCAGAAGAGAGAGTGTGCACAGAGTGTCAGACTAGAAAAACTGGATGTAAATCCTGTCAGTGAACGTTTCTTATTTGCTCCCTCTTTACTGGCCTTAACTGGTCTGCAAAATATATATATATATACACACACACAGTTGTGTTCAAAATAATAGCAGTGTGTTGAAAAAAGTGAATAAAGCTCAAAATCCTTCTAAAAGCTTTTATTTCCATACACACAAATGCATTGGGAACACTACACATTCTATTCCAAATCAAAAATGAAGAAAAATATATCAAATTTGTGTTGTTCCTCTAAAAAAATGGAAGAAAAGTGAATATTAGACTGTTCAAAAAAATAGCAGTGTTTGTATTCTTCTTTACAAACTCAAACATTCACTATATAAACTGAAAAATGTTTGAAGATTTTGCTTTCCTTTGAATCACCTAATTAATATTTCGTTGTATAAGCACTGTTTCTGAGAACTGCTGTACATCTGTGTTGCATGGAGTCAACCAACTTCTGGCACCTGTGAACAGGTATTCCAGCCCAGGATGATTGGACTACATTCCACAGTTCTTCTCTATTTCTTGGTTTTGCCTCAGAAACTGCATTTTTGATGTCACCCCACAAGTTTTCTATTGGATTAAGATTCGGGGATTGGGCTGGCCACTCCATAACGTCAATCTTGTTGGTCTGGAACCAAGATGTTGCACGTTTACTGGTGTGTTTGGGGGTCGTTGTCTTGTTGGAACACCCATTTCAAGGGCATTTTCCTCTTCAGCATAAGGCAGCATGACCTCTTCAAGTATTCTGATGTATTCAAACTGATCCATGATCCCTGGTATGCGATAAATAGGCCCAACACCGTAGTATGAGAAACATCCCCATATCATGATGCTTGCGCAACCATGCTTCACTGTCTTCACAGTGTACTGTGGCTTGAATTCAGTGTTTGGGGGTCGTCTGACAAATTGTCTCCGGCCACTAGATCCAAAAAGAACAATCTTACTTTCATCAGTCCACAAAATGTTGCACCATTTCTCTTTAGGCCAGTCAATGTGCTCCTTGGCAAATTGTAACCTCTTCAGCACGTCTTTTTTTCAACAGTGGGACTTTGCGGGGGCTTCTTGCAGATAGCTTGGCTTCACATAGGCGTCTTCTAATTGTAACAGTACTCACAGGTAACTTTTGACCTTCTTTGATCTTCCCGGAGCTGATTGTTGGCTGAGTCCTTGCCATTTTGGCTATTCTTCTATCCATTCGAATGGTAGTTTTTCGCTTTCTTCCACGTCTTTCAGGTTTTGGTTGCCATTTTAAAGCATTTGCGATCATTTTAGCTGAGCAGCCTATCATTTTCTGCAATTCTTTATATGTTTTCCCCTCTCCAATCAACTTTTTAATCAAGGTACGCTGTTCTTCTAAACAATGTCTGGAACGACCCATTTTCCTCCGAATTTCAGAGAGAAATGCACTGTAACCAGCATGTACAACATTTGCTGCCTTCCTTCCTTAAATAAGGGCAATAATCGCCACCTGTTTTTCAAAGAATGAATGACCTCACTAATAGAACTCCACACTGCTATTATTTTGAACACGCCCCTTTCAATTAGTGATTCAGTTACACAGAATCAGCAGCATGTATGTCATGACTGTTGGGTCTGTTGGATTTCTATTACTCTACTACACCTGCTAGTAAATTATTTGCCATGTAGAAATATCATTTCTACCAAAAACAGTGATTATTATTTTGAACACAAGTGTGTGTATATATATATATATATATATATGTGTGTGTGTATCTGCTCAATAAGTGTGTCTTATGCACATTTCCTAGAGTCTATCCAGTTCTTATCTTGGACCGTCTTTACTTTGAAGCCAGCCATAGACGGTTCGAATTTCAACCAGTTCAGCGAGGACCTGCTGAGATTCCAGCCATGTATGGGCAAGTTGATTGCTCAACTTGTGTACATCCAGCCTTTCAGATTTTTCATGCGATTATTGCCAGTGGCTATAGCCACTAGCAAAATTCACTGTGTGTGTTCTCCCGGCAGGGATAACTCCCCCTCTGCACCCCCCCCCCCACCTGGAGAACATAAAAGCTGCCAGCATCTATGGCCAGCTTAAGGTATCCACCCAGTTCTTATTTTGGACTATAAAATTATTACTCTCTGTGTTGTAGAGATGAGGAGATAGAGAGGGATTCTGTAAAAAAATATTTCCGTAAACGTTTTCTGAAATCCCTGGTAATCACCAGAACTAGTGTCCACAGGGGAAGATTTCCCCTCTATTCCTGTTCTGGTGACAGTTCAAAAACGTGGGATTTTTTTTTTTTTTACTACCAGTCACCAGTACAAAAAGAGATGGTGAATCTCCCCAACAAGGACCCAGACAGCAACAGAAACCTGACAGGTGTTCTAACCCCTTCCACTCTAAAAATGCCTTTCGTAATTCTTTAACCACTTGCCTGCCGGGCACTTATACCCCCTTCTTTACCAGGCCAATTTTCAGCTTTCAGCGCTGTCGCACTTTGATTGACAATTGCGCGGAGATGCAAGATTGTACCCATATGAAATTTTTATCATTTTTTTAAATCACAAATAGAGCTTTCTTTTGGTGGTATTTAATCATCGCTGGGTGTTTTACTTTTTGCACTATAAACAAAAAAAGTTTTTGTTTCTATTATTTATTTTATTTCAGGTACTTATATAGCGCTGTCAATTTACGCAGTGCTTTTCACATATATTGAACATTCACATCAGTCTCTAACCCTCAAGGATTTTACAATCTAAGGTCCCTAACTTACATTCATACATACACATATTAGGGCCAATTTAGACAGGATCCAATTAACCTACCAGCATGTCTTTGGAGTGTGGGAGGAAACCAGAGCACCCGGAGGAAACCCACATAAGCAAAGGGAGAACATGCAAACTCCATGCAGGAGGCACCATGGTCGGGAATCGAACCCATGACCCATTTACTGCAAGGCAGACGTGCTAACCACTAAGTCACTGTGCCGCCCGTTTTTACATAAAATTTTGCAAACAGGCAATTTTTCTCCTTCACTGATGTGTGTTGATGAGGCAGCACTGATGGGCACTGACAGGCAGCACTGATGGGCACTGAAGGGGACTGATAGGCGGCAATGATAGGTAGCACTAATGAGGTGGCACGGGTAGGCAGCACTGATAGGTGGCACTGATAGGCGGCTCTAATGAGGTGGCACGGATAGGCAGCACTGACTGGCATCACTGCTGGGCACTGACTGGCGGCACTGCTGGGCACTGGTGGGTGGCACTGGTGGGTGGCACTACTGGGCACAGGTGGGTGGCACTTCTGGGCACAGGTGGGTGGCACTGCTGGGCACAGGTGGGTGGCACTGCTGGGTGGCACAGGTGGTTGCACTGTTGGGCACAGGTGGGTGCATTGCTGGGCACAAGTGGGCGGAACTGGTGGGTGGCACTGCTGGGCACCGATCATCAGGGCACTGATCATCGGTGCCGATCCCTGCTCTAACAACTGCTGGTTCTTGGCAGGACTTTCCTCACGATCTGACAGCTTGAGGAAAGTGCAGCCGAGAACCGGCAACTGCATTTCCCTGTGATCAGCGTGCCATTGGACACGGCTGATCACGTGGTAAAAGGCTGCTGTGATTGGCCTTTTACCACATCACGTGATCAGGTGTGTCCTACGGACACAACGATCACGGAGATCGCCGAGAGCGCGTTCTGGGAGGACGTCATATAACGCCCTCCCAGAACTGGCCTGCCGAAGTGCAGCCGACATTCGGCTATCTGCCGTCGGCAACTGGTTAACAAGTCCAAAGTTACCCAGTTTAAAAAAAAAAACAAAAACTACTGTTTGATTAGAGCAGAGTTCTTCTTTAAAGAAAACTCAGCTACCCTGAAACAGTAGGGCACTGCAAAGCCACACTGCAGCCCTATGATTTGTTAATGACAACAGAACCAAGCGCTCTTCAAAAGCAGCCCACAGACCTGGCTTCTGCCTTGATTACATTAAAAGCGAGATTATACATTTACAAAGGAACAAAGCAAAAGCTCTGCACAATTTCCTGTTTGGTACATATGTGTTTTATTATTTTAATAGATTAACCCACAAAGCTTACTTGGTATTATATCCCTCAGTCATTAGCTTGTCACATACAGCTATGGAAAAGTAAACACATCACAAGGTTAAGCAATATAAACTGAGTGTGATGAATGAAACACATACAGGTGAAACTCAAAAAATTAGAATATCGTGCAAAAGTTCATTTAGCTCAGCAATGCAACTTAAAATGTGAAACTAATATATGAGATAGACTCATTACATGCAAAGCAAGATAGTTCAAGCTGTGATTTGTCATAATTGTGATGATTATGGTTTACAAGTCATGAAAACCCCAAATCCACAATCTCAGAAAATTAGAATATTGTGAAAAGGTGCAATATTCTAGGCTCAAAGTGTACCACTCTAATGAGCTAATTAAGCCATAACACCTGCAAAGGGTTCCTGAGCCTTTAAATGGTCTCTCAGTCTGGTTCAGTAGGAATCACAATCATGGGAAAGACTGCTGACCTGACAGTTGTGCAGAAAACCATCATTGACACCCTCCATAAGGAGGGAAAGCCTCAAAAGGTAATTGCAAAAGAAGTTGGATGTTCCCAAAGTGCTGTATCAAAGAATATTAATAGAAAGATATGTGGAAGGGAAAAGTGTGGAAGAAAAAGGTGCACAAGCAGCAGGGATGACCGCAGCCTAGAGAGGATTGTCAGGAAAAGGCCATTCACAAAGAGTGGACTGAGGCTGGAGTCAGTGCATCAAGAGCCACCACACACAGACGGATCCTGGACATGGATTTCAAATGTTGTATTCCTTTTGTCAAGCTGCTCCTGAGCAACAAACAACCTCAGAAGCATCTTACCTGGGCTAAAGAAAAACAGACCAGGTCTGTTGCTCAGTGGTCCAAAGTCCTCTTTTCTGATGAGATCAACTTTTGCATCTGATTTGGAAACCAAGGACCCAGAGTATGGAGCAAGAATGGAGAGGCACAAACTGCAAGGCACCTGCCCACACTGCCAAAAGCACCACAACCTGGTTCAATGACCATGGGATTACTGTGCTTGATTGGCCAGCAAACTCGCCTGACCTGAACCTCATAGAAAATCTATGGGGCATTGCCAAGAGAAAGATGAGAGACATGAGACCGAACAATGCAGAAGAGCTGAAGGCCGCTATTGAAGCATCCTGGTCTTCCATAACACCTCAGCAGTGCCACAGACTTCATGCCATGCTGCATTGAGGCAGTAATTGCTGCAAAAGGGGCCCAAACCAAGTACTGAGTACATATGCATGCTTATACTTTTCAGAGGTCCGATATTATTCTATGTTCAATCCTTGTTTTATTGATTACATGTAATAGTCTAATTTTCTGAGATTGTGGATTTGGGGTTTTCATGAGCTGTAAGCCATAATATCACAATTATGACAAATCACGGCTTGAACTATCTTACTTTGCATGTAATGAGTCTATCTCATATATTCGTTTCACCTTTTAAGTTGCATTACTGAAATAAATGAACTTTTGCACGATATTCTAATTTTTCGAGTTTCACCTGTACTATAAGCAGAGGTTTTCTTTGGTGATAGCTGTAAGTGAAAAGGAACAGCAGATCCACAAATAAAGGCAGTTGAGGTTATGCCTGACCCTGATCCTTCCTACCAGTTCTTTAATGTGACAAGATGACCTCAGTAAATATTGAGGTTCTGGAGATGAGTCTTGCCTTTTACCATAAAGTCAATATTTACATATATTATATACAGTGGGGATCGAAAGTTTGGGCACCCCAGCTAAAAAATTTGTATAATGTGCATAAAGAAGCCAAGGAAAGATGGAAAAATCTCCAAAAGGCATCAAATTACAGATTAGACATTCTTATAATATGTCAACAAAAGTTAGATTTTATTTCCATCATTTACACTTTCAAAATAACAGAAAACAAAAAAATGGCGTCTGCAAAAGTTTGGGCACCCTGCAGAGTTAATATCTTGTACTGCCCCCTTTGGCAAGTATCACAGCTTGTAAACGCTTTTTTAGCCAGCCAAGAGTCTTTCAATTCTTGTTTGAGGTATCTTTGCCCATTCTTCCTTACAAAAGTCTTCCAGTTCTTTGAGATTTCTGAACTGTCTGTCACGCACTGCTCTTTTTAGGTCTATCCATAGATTTTCAATTATGTTGAGGTCAGGAGATTGTGAAGGCCATGGCAAAACCTTCAGTTTACGCCTCTTGATGTAATCCCCCGTGAATTTCGAGGTGTGTTTAGGATCATTATCCATTTGTAGAAGCCATCCTCTCTTTAACTTCAGATTTTTCACAGATGGCATCAAGTTACCATCCAAAATTTGCTGAAATTTTATTGAATCCATTTTTTTTCCTTCTACTCGTGAGATGTTCCCTGTACCACTGGCTGCAACACAACCCCAAAGCATGATTATCCAACCCCATGCTTAACAGTTGGACAGAGGTTCTTTTCATTAAATTCTGTGCCCCTTCTTCTCCAAACGTACCTTTGCTCATTCCGGCCAAAAAGTTCAATTTTAACCTCATCGGTCCACAGAACTTGTTTCCAAAATGCATCAGGCTTGTCTATATGTTAATTTGCAAAGTTCAAACCATGATTTTTGTGGTGAGGACGTAGAAGAGGTTTTCTTCTGATGACTCTTCCATGAAGACCATATTTGTACAAGTATCTATAGTGGAATAGTGTACCACAACTCCAGTGTCTGCCAGATCTTTCTGGAGGGATCATCCAGTCAAACGTAGGTTTTGAATTGTTTTTCTCACATTCCTGCGAGCTGTTCTGTCTGATATTTTTCTTGGTCTTCCAGATCTTGCTTTAACTTCCACTGTTCCTGATGACTGCCATTTCTTAATTACATTCCGAACAGAGGATATTGACATCTGAAAACGCTTTGCTATCTTCTTATAGCCTTCTCCAGCGTTGTGAGCGTCAACTATTTTCAGTTTCAGTTTTCTAGACAACTGCTTAGAAGAAGCCATGGTGTTGATTGTTGGGGCAAGGTCAGATGAGTCTGGGCATTTAAAACCTTTGAGATTGACATCACCTGGTCTTCCCAGACGATGATTGAGAACAATCCATGACACTGGCAGGTCTCAGCTTGGCAAAGGGGGCAGTGCATGCTATAAATTCTGCAGGGTGCCCAAACTTTTGCAGACGCCATTTTTTTGTTTGCTGTTATTTTGAAAGTGTAAATGATGGAAATAAAATCTAACTTTTGTTGACATATTATAAGAATGTCTAATCTGTAATTTGATGCCTTTTGGAGTTTTTTCCATCTTTCCTTGGCTTCTTTATGCACATTAATACAAATTTTTAGCTGGGGTGCCCAAACTTTCGATCCCCACTGTAACTACTGATATCTCAGGATGTATAGACTCCTTAAAATTGTGGTTGTCACTGAAAGTAATGTCTGCGCAAGCATTTGGCCAAGTTTGTGACAGGTTTATATTAAAGGCAACTTGTCTTAAGAAAAGTGTTCTGGGGCATGCAGAGGCTTGCTAATTAAAGAAAACATATTTGGGCAAGTCTGCTAGTGTATGGATTACAGTTAAAATGCTGTACTGAATGCAGCACGTGTGTTTAGTGGCAAGAGCTACCAATATTATGCAGCTTTCTGCCACAGTGTTCAGGATTTAAAACCTAACTTGCTAGCTTATTTACCTAACTTATTTATGCCTAGGGGAATGAAAAAAGAGATTTACTTATCCAATCCTCCGTTCCTTCCCACAGCTAGCCCGAACCCTGCAGCTTCTGCACTCTTAAACTCCAATCGTTTTTTAGTCCACTAGAATAGTGTTAATTTCGTTGACAAAAATATTTTAGCTGACAAAATTAACACTGCTGTGAAACTTTGTGATTCCCACCTCCACCTGATCCTGAGTATCCACATACCAACTGAAGGTTATATTTGGGTATCTATCCATGTGTATTGATGTTTGTTAATTGCTGTACTTTTAGCCCAGATCTCCTCCATGTTCCAATGAAAATGAATATAATGTTTGTAGCTGAGAGTTTACCTTTGTCTAGATAGAGGAACTGTGGGGAGATCTACTGGTATGTCTTTATATAGTGCTTCCTTTCATAAATATAGGAAGCTTGAAAAGTTAGCTGTCTAGAGTGCTGCCTGATATTTATTTAGCGTGTATTAATTCTAAGTCTTTCTTAAGGAGACCCAACCTATGGTTTCTGCATCCTTATTTATGTAACAAACTCTTTATGCACTGATGTTGTGATTTGGGTGAACTTATTTTTTGTTTTACTAATATTTTTATCTGCTCAGCTTGGCCTTTAACATTGATTTCCCGACTGACTTCTGGATGGCAACAATGTGCTTTATTTACATTTATCCTGTCTGCATCTGCACTGAAGCTGCAGATAATAACTAAAAACAACGTATCTGCCCACATACCTGTTTTATTCAATTTCTACAGTTTCAGGTGCTATAATTTATGTTTTTTGTGCTATACTAACCTATTGTAAGCACCCCCATCAGTGTGTTTTTTTCTGAACC